TTCCAGAGCACAGGCGCGGAGTAAGAGAATGATCGGTGTCCGAAGGATTTCAGTTTGTAGGATGGGATGACCAGTCGGTTTTGTGTGTTTGAGCGCAAGTTGCGTGCGGGGACATACGGATGTAGGAGTTCAGACAAGTAGGAGGGAGCCAAACCATGGAGGCACTTGTACGTCAGACAGAGGATCTTAAAGTCAATTCTGGCCCTAACTGGTAGCCAATGCAGTTCTTTCAACACTGGTGTTATATGGGAACGTTTAGAAGTCTTGCTGATGATGCGGGCGGAAGTATTTTGGATCTTCTGAAGCTTATCAACTTCAGAACTGAGGCCCGAAAGGATGCTGTTACAGTAATACAGGATAACTAAAGTGCTATTTCAATATTAGAAACGCTCAATAATGAACGTGGTGTAAACATATTTTTATTTCGCCAAAGCAGAAACCTGGATAGGCGAACAAGCCTAGTGGCATATATAACCGCCGCTCCAGTACATTGTTCAAATAGCTGGATACATAAATGAAATAATTTGACAACAAAAGAAAAATACAATAACAGATATATGTTTGAGTAACAAATATGTTCGTTGTCGTGTTGGTTATGCCTAGCAACGAAATGGGCTGCCGCAGAAAGTCACGTTATATAAAATTTGTCTTACACTGAATATATATGTTGAGGGGATAATCATTGGAAGCGGTTACTTTTACAAATGAAATGGTGTAATGAGTTAAGAATGCCACTATTAGTTGAGTTATTCAATAGGCTGTTACCGTATACAGTAGTTGTAACATCGTATCCTTGAATATAAAAATGCACACTTGTTCTTAAATTTTGATAGTTACGACATGTAAAAAGGTAGTAAATGACGTCTTCGTTATAATAACCACATGACCACCTGCGTGTGTCCGATATATGTCTATTATATCTGTCTGCGTTTAGATCACTGCAGCCGAGCTTGAGGCGACAATGAATGATTTGACAAAATCTAGTTCCAAAATTCAAATCAAAGTAATTGTGAGTTTCTGTTGTGTTTATCATGGTTTTAAATTGATTCAGGGAATTAGCGTTAACAGCATCATCGGGTAATACATTCCACGACATAATCGCGCTCGGTAAAAATGATTGAGAATATCTTTGCGTTCTACAATTAATCGTTTGAATGGAAGTACTATCTCTAAGATTATAGTTACTTTGTTGAAATTCTCTACCTGGTACAAGATCGTTCAGATAATCAGGAGGCAGACGATGATACATTTTGTAGAAAGTTATGAGTTTAGAGCGATGTCGTCTTTCTTTCAGTGTGCTATAATTAGTTTCCCTGTATATTTTATCGTGACTGGTGCCACGAACCGCACCGCTTATAGTTCTTAAGGCGTCTAAATGTAAATTTTCCAGTAAAATCGCCTGTTCAATCGTACAATTATCCCATATATGACAGCAGTAATCAAAAAGATATGACAATGAAAGTGAAATGTGTGGCAAGTATATACAAACTATACAGATACAGAAATATATACAAATATATAATATTTAGTCACAAACTGTGAATTGTCACAATTTGACCACTTTCTAAATGGCATTGTGTATTCATAACATTGGATAGGTGACACAGCAGGAATGCTTCCCAAAAACTGATACGGATCATATATCATACAACTGCAAGGTCAGGAACCAAACTCTTCCATAAGCTGTTCAGAAGACCGCCGAGGGACAACTCGTCTTGTTATACAGGATTGTTCGTTTTCGTATACTAGCTCCATTCTGACGGTCACCGATCATTGTCGAGACCCACCTTTACTAAGTGTTTCACGTTTCACGTGCGTAATAGTTAATGAACATTCATTACAGAGTAAGTAAAGTAAGGCTCCACAGTACCTTTATAGTAAAATATATTGCATAGCCCTTGTTACACGGTCGTTTTCAGATAACACCATCGTTGGCACTGCAACAGGGAGAGAGCAAGGTTTGAGCTCGATTTCTACTGATGTTAACTCTGTCAATTGTGAAAGTTCTTCATTAGAGGTAATGTATGTGGCTCGGGGGTGGGTGGTGGGTTATTACGTTCTTTGAGTGCAGGATCTTTCACAAATAGTGCTACCGCCCTGTAGGATAATTAAAACGCAGTTTATCGAATTGGCACTTACATCCAGTGTCATTGAAGGAATTAGAAAAACCATATAGTTGATTCCGTGATGTGCTGTTCAGGTAGCGTGAACAAACCGACACACCTGATGGACAAATAGCCAGTGCTCCAAATTGCCATATATTTCTAGACTTTTGATTTATTTATTTCAGGGAGAATTTAGGTATTACCCAATTTTGATTCAGATAATGATATATAAGGTATGACATTATCGTCTATATTCACCGGTTCGTCAAGCAATCCTTGTCCTCCAAATGTGGAACAGTTTCTATATACTAGTATGTGAAAGTACAAGTTTGACACCGTACACACATGTACACTGGTGGTATATATGAAGCCTATTTATCTTTATCACCTTTGGGTTGGTAAGATGTTCTTCTTGTACAGTTGTGGGTTTTTTTATATTTGGTATTATTTTGATGTACCTTCTTTTAAACGCAGCGAGCACCGTCTTGATGATTGTGATACATATTTTGTTTGTCTTACCCATTCGTATGTTGTTCGTGGGCATCAAGTCAAATACTTTGGATACACCATCTGTACATGTAACGTCTGTGACGTCAAGAATAGCCTGCTTGTGATAATCCGTTTATCATTACTGATTTTAATAGTAATGACATTACCCTTTTTCATGTAAGCTTGGACAAATAGTCTCCTTCCCTGGACAAGCTATAAATGAGATTTTTCAAGTGAAAATATATGTACAACATCATTATGTACAACAGTTATTTTGACGTATCAAGATATAAACGTGAAGAACATAACCCACTGTACAGTCAAAGTCATGCGGACTATGCTCTGCACTTTACTGGATGAAACTCTGCGTTAAACGTGGGTTCGAATCCATGATTCTCACTGATGATGACTAACAGGTGCGTGAATACGCTTTTAGCAATATCCCAGCATTATCATGGCGGTGGACACCAGAAATAGGTTTCACACATTGTACCTGTATCGAACCACAAGGCTACCCCCACCGCCCAAAGTCGATGAAATAAAACAGATGGTTGCAATGATGACATTGTGTGACCTGTCTGACTGTTCGTTCTGTCTATCCGTCACTTGTTGAACACGCAGAACACGAAAGTGTGTACCCATGAAGATATGGGTTAGAATTGGTCTTCAGCAACCCAGGTGACTAACAGGAGTGGATGGTTAGGCCAACTGGCTTCGCTCACACATACCATGGAATCTCAGCTGCGTATATAGATGCTCATGATGTTGATCACTAGATTGTCTGGTCCAGACTCGTTTATATACAGACAGCCGCCATATAGCTGGAATATTGATGAATGCCGCGTCACACAAAGAAAAGTGTTTGAATGTACTTCTCTTCTCTTTCTCTGTGTGTATGGTGTGTGTGTGTGTGCGTGTGTGTTGAGTGAGACGTCACATGCAGTCACGTAAAGACAATAAACACAATCCATACTGCAACCTGAAGTTTATTCAGAGTTTCAGTCTACACCTCTCTCTACATATACATAGATTGGCAAAAGCTAAATCTATTTCCTTGTGAATAAAAATATATCTGCAATATACATGTTTCTAAATATAACATATTTTGGAAATCTATTCGAAATATTTTGTTTGATTCCGTTTCATTTTTATTACTTTGTATTATAAATGTATTACTTAACTCAATGAAATTTTATGGAATAAGACATGTTATATTACTTACAAATGTTGTCTGTTATTCTGCTGTATACCTATACATGCAAATGGTTGTCATTTGCAGGTTTCGATAAGTTTGGATAAGTAAAATACCTGATAAGTAAACAATTTTGACGAGTCACTTAAAATTAAATCGAGTTTCCACTGTACAACATAACATAACATACGCATGTTGCATAAATATCTACGTGACGTCTCGGCCAAGAAAAGGTGACGGAAAAATATTCTTCATACTAGGCTTCAGGATCTACCTCGCTGAAATCAGATCGTTTTATGTGAAGATCAGACCATTTTCGAGTTTCAGATCGATTTCATGTAAAAATCAGATAATGCTTTGGTTAGTTTCCGTGACATCCATTCATGCGACTGTACTTCAGAAAGTGAAAATGCTTTCAATTGCTCTTAAATGTATACAATTGATACAATTTGTTTCGAAATGTAAACGTTGTAGAAAGTGTAAATATTGGCCCTCCACTATATATTCCACGCTTTTCGTGATATAATAAAAAGAAGAATGAAAGGATGATTGTTGGCCTGCTTTTGTAGGGCTACAATTCTTAAGCTAAAACAAACCCACAAAACAACAACAACAAAACGCATGAAAGAGCATCTTATAATTGGCACACGTGTAACACGGAAGTAATGGTGGAAGGTAATACGGTTTAATGTGGTGGTCATACTTTGTCCCATAAATGAAACAAACAAAACATGTAGAATGTATGGTTTATGAATTGTATGATATTTCTAACTGCCATAAAAGTACACTTGTACATATGCAGTGATTGCACCAGATTGTTGTGAAGCAGATATGCAAATCAGACTAATCACCGGAAATGCGTAAAGATCGAAGCCATTGTAAATCTACCTCTGAAAACAAATATAAAACCTAAATCTATACATGGTAAGTTATATCTAAATACTGTTGCGATAAATACCCTGGACCCCTAGAAATAGTTACTAAGTCATATGACAAGCAGATTACATCACTAATACTTGACTGACTGTGACATTCGTCACTACTCGCCTTGTTCCGTAACCTACATTCGGCTTGACACGGACTAGCACGAGATGTTCACGAATGTGGCTGCCAGAGTCTTGTGTCATTCGGTGTACGAAATACATAATGGCACTGGTATTGGATAGGATTCTTCACGGCGACTTCGTACATTCATGTGTTATGCCATATTAGATTTATATTCGTTCTTGCATCGAGAATTCTGTTATATCACTTTGTCCATTGACCGCAGAAGGATTGGCAGTGAGCAGCGAATCTTTCTTTCTCATTTCAATCGCTCCAGCGTGTTCGTCATATTTCATCTTCTTGTGCTCGTAAAACTCGAACATGACAATGCATATGAGGATGAGGTTTTTGAGCATAAAGGGGGAGATTCCTACACTGAAGCCATGCCAGAGAACTAACCGAACAAGCAGATTGGGAACATTCACCACCAGCACCACAAGTAACTTATGTAGCGCTACAAGACGTTTCGGCATCTTCTTGTATCCAAAGTTGGTGAGGCTGAGCGTGATCAAGGGCACTGTTGGAATAATGAGATTGAGACCCGCCACCACTAAAACAGCTTCCTGAAGTCCTGGGAGGAACATGTCCCTTGATGACTTGTCGAACATCACCTCTAAGACATCCACAGTGTCCAACACGTCGAAGACAACGGTTCCAGTTAGTTCTTCAATCAATCGCCTGCGTTCGCTAGCAGGAGGAGCGTCATGGTGAGACGTCAACAGCAAAACGAATACACACGACGCCAAGGCTAGAGACGTCTTTAATGTACTGGGGCCAAAGAATGTGTCTTCGCTTAACTTAAAGGAGAATTTGTTGAAAGCTATGGCCATCCTTGCTACTAGGCTTACCGAGTACACAAGCCATGCCAACCAACCAATTGTGACCGCTTTACTTTGCTCGTCACCGGCTTTCTGTAGTGCAAGGTGTCGTCGTGATATGACGAAGGAGGCGATGAAGAGAAATGAAATAATCAAGTAAGAACATCCTCATTGCATGTTCACGCATGTTCTTACAAGCTCTAATGAATCTGAACTTATTTCTTCCGTTTGTTACAGCTCTCAAACATTCTGATAAATTTATAACAAGCATATCACATTTGTGAAGCGGTTTACTGACTTGTAGACTGACAGCTAGACTCTGAAATTAACATATTTTACAGAAAATAAAAGCTCTTAAATTACAATTATAAACAGAATAAAAAGGAGCCCACAGACTTTCTTCATTTACAGAAACTGTGGAAATCTAGACTTGCCACATTTTCTAGACTTGCATGGGCTTTCTTAGTTGGTATGACAGACTAACTGACTTGATGTGGTCGATTATCGACTAAACAAATACGAGATATCGTTAAAGTTGCATAACAAATGGGATTGTGATATTTGATTAGAAGGTATGTGTTGGTTGTTTAAACAACAGCATGAATTCAGAGCTAATGACTTGGTGGAAGCGTGCACTATTGTAAACATGCAGTGTTGCAGATGTATACGACGACGTCGACGTCGTCAACACGTGGTTGATTAAGAGAATATGGTTTGACCAGATAAGTCTACTCATCTGGCCAAGGGATCCATATTTGTAATGGAACTGAGAAGAGTGGGATTTCAGGGGTGAGTCCAAGTTTTCTTTATTAATAAAACAGTAGGTTGGGTACATATAAACGTACCACCAAGTGAGGATTATGAGTCACATCTGGAACAGTTATACAACATACGATGATACATGTAGTACTTACAACTTCGTGATCTTCATGAATAAATAAGTGGGTCATATTTACACCTAAATGCAACCACAACTTCAGTGTATACGGAAGAAATATATAAATACAATAATAGTTCGACAGAAACTACAACTACTTTGTCAAATTACATTAATAGTAAAATATACTAGGCACATAAAGGAACTGTGCATACAAAAATTTAAAATCTAAATTTATCAAACCTGTGTAGACACATAAGGATTTAAACTCAGAGATTAGTGACATGTATCCAACATGCATGCACGTGCCACGTTCCGTGACGTCAGTGGGTTCGTCCTTGAAACGTGCAATACGTTGTTGCACGTGCATTCCAGGAAAGAGAAACAGAGCAAATGAATGCCACACAATACTGTCACTTTGGAAAGCTCAACCCCTGCTTTGCGATCGTTCAAAAAATTAAACGTCTATTGAACCGCATAGCATGCCAAGGCTCACGTCTGCAAAACGTCATGAGGCCATTGGGATGGTCCGTGGGGGTATGTCTCAACGACAAGTGGCTGCATATTTCCACTGCCACCGGAAAACCATTTCTGCACTGGTGAGACGCTACCAGAACACAAATGACGTCATCGATCGGCTACGTTCTGGACGTCCACGTGTAACAACGCCAAGACAGGACATATGGATAAGGGTGACCCATCTTCGCAACAGGTTTCAGACTGCAGTGATGACTGTCCGAACCATCCCAGGACTTCGCCGTATCCACCCCAACACAGTTCGACAACGTTTACGTCATCACGGGATCAGACCACGACGTCCCGCCATACGGCCTATCCTGACACAACGTCATCGACAAGCTCGCCGAATGTTGTGCCGAAATCATGTCCGCAGATCCTTGCTTTGGTGGAGAAATGTTGTTTTTACAGATGAGTCCAGGTTTAACATTTCCCATAGTGATGGACGTCAACGTGCCTATAGACGCGTGGGAGAACGTTATGCACAGGCCTGTGTCTTGGAGAGGAATCGCTTTGGTGGTGGTTCCTTGATGATTTGGGGTGGAATAACAGCACGCCAAAGAACTCCTTTGGTGATTGTTCAGGGCAACTTAACTGCTGTGGGCTACAGGGATCAGATTCTTCGACCTGTGGCAATTCCTTTTCTGCAACGTCATGGCCCTGGGTTAACATTCCAACAGGACAATGCCCGCCCTCATACGGCAAGGGTTGCTATGGATTTCTTGCAACACCACAACGTTGACTAACTGCTTTGGCCTGCAAATTCACCGGATCTCTCCCCGATAGAGCATGTTTGGGACGAGATGGATCGACATCTACGCCGTCTTCCTCATCCGCCAGATAACGTCCTTGACCTTGCAACAGAACTTGAGATAATCTGGCGTGACATCGGCGTGACAGTTTCGACGTAAATGACCCCAGTAGCCTATTCGGGCCGAAACAGACAATTGTAGACAAAATGAGAAAAAGATTCTTCTCATAGATCCCCACATGCCCTCAGCAATTAAAAAGTTCAAGTCAGCGATTTAACGCCCTGTGGCTGAGTGGGTTAGATCGCTGACTTTGTGTGCTGGCGATCAGGTGCCTGATTCTGAGTGTGAGGGTCCGAAACCCGGATGGAACTCAGCCTAACAACAGTACTAGAATATGTGCTGTACCGAGAAAGTGAGGTGAGGTGAGGTGAAATTGGGTTTAACGTCGTGCTTGAGAATATTTCGCTCATATGATGACGTGCGTGCGTGTGTATGTTTATGTGCGGCTGCTTGTATTAGTCCAGACTCAAGCGGGTTTTATAGTTCTAGCCCACTGAGATACCATGCCGCAGTGAAGCATGAATACCCCACTCAGACACATTATACTGACTCCGAGCCGACCAGTCTTTGTTGTACCCATTAATGCTGAGCGCCAGGTAGGGACCAACAAGTATCATATTTTAACGTATTTTGGTTTGACGCGGTCGGGGATCGAACCCGCGACCTTCCGCTCTCCGGGCGGACGCTCTAACCACTACACCACGGAGGCGGTCTTACCGAGAAAGTGTAGATAAGGACAAACATAATGGATGAACAACTTCTTCCTTCGTATGATGCGAATAAAGAAGTTGTTCATCCATAAAGTTTGTCCTTATCTGATTCTAAACATGCCACTCAAAGAAAGTGTACTCCAAATATAACATTTGTCACATTTGTTACCCGGCTTGTTATGGGATAACAAGTTATAATCCTTAAAATAGAAGGGAGAATTCCGTAAGTCAATGATCATTCACAGAGATGTTTAAATATCTATTGTGGGATCAAGTGTGTTATACATGCATACCTATTCATAAAAGATCTTCAAACAATAAGCTTATGTACATATGTCGATATGGAATCAGCATCTCAAACGGTAGAGCTTGTAAGCACAGCAATAATCATATTTCTTCTTTCAACCTAACATCGCATAATAATCATTTTAACACATATCGCAATTATACCCCAGCAGTTCTTATATAAATCATATATAGATTATATTTGCTCATCTCAGCTGTCGTAATATATATCGATTAAACGATATTTGCCATTGAACCAATTATATATATTAGTTCACTATCAGCATATTAATGATGTACTGTACATTTAATGTGTCCATGCATGGGTCCAATATAGGCACAACTAACCATGACAGCACATCTAATTCACTTACATATTCAACAACGACTGAGATAACGCCAAGCTACTGATCTAGCGAGGTTGAGGTGCCGGGATCGAGCCCATCTGTGACCGGGTATAAAAAACCTTGGAGTCAACTTTGTGTGCAGACTCTTTCCGTGTTGTCACAACCCCTAGTGTACAGTACACAACCCTGTGCAATTAAAGAATCCACAAATCCGTTGTTAGATGACCAGATGGTGGCCACATGAAAACGTGCAAACACCTAGTTGTGGGTACAGCAACGTGCAGTGAACTTGGACAAAATACTGTGACTATGTGTCCCAGTCCACCCAGTTGTGAATAGATACCTCGTTGGGATGAGAAAGACACAATAACTCGGTGCGCCTAGTAGCAGCAAGAGTTGTATACTCCTCAGGGAGTTGAGATTGATAATACGATGTGCCATTGAGATTGACATCCAGTGATCGAGGGAAAAAATACCAGCGCCTTGAGCATGCACTAGTTGCGTGGATATGTGCGCTATGTAAATATCCTATATATATTATGCATGACAATGTGCATGCAATTACACTGTATGCATGATATTGCCGATTTCGATTCATATATAATACACTTCAGTCATGACATTATCTGGTATAATGAATAGAGTTGTACAAGAGAGCTTACCTAAAATAGAATGGAGAATTCCGTCAGTCAAATGATCTGTCAAAGAAATGTTCCGATATTTATTGTGAGGTCAAGTGAGTTGATAGGAATTCACTGACCTCTTTTTATAGTCTAACTAAAGTCGAAACATCAATGATCAATGCTGGAATTGGCCAAAACATATACTTTGTCTTAGAAGAGGTATTGTTACCAACTGTAACTGTTTGGACAAACCGAAATGAGTTTTTGGAGGGGTAGACACGTGACACGATTATTAGATCCGCTTAACTACTTTTAATTTATTATTACTTAGTTTATTTCACTTTGTTTTTACAGCTCTAGTCCGGATGTCATATTAGTTTTAAGAGCTGGTGTCATAAAACCGTGACACAATGGTAATTGTGTTATTACAGTCTGGCTGCCTATACAATGGTCATTAAGTAATTTACTGGTGCATGAAACAATAGCTTGAGTTTGAAGTATATGGTTGATGTTAATTATCTGTACAAAGTGCGTTACATCAGCTTGACCCATGACATGAAGGATAACTAAAGTGCTATTTCAATATTAGAAACTCTCAATAATGAACGTGGTTTAAACATATTTATATTTCGCCAAAGCAGAAACCTGGATAGGCGAACAAGCCTATTGGCATATATAACCGCCGCTCCAGTACATTGTTCAAATAGCTGGATACATAAATGAAATAATTTGACAACAAAAGAAAAATACAATAACAGATATATGATTGAGTAACAAATATGTTCGTTGTCGTGTTGGTTATGCCTAGCAACGAAATGGGCTGCCGCAGAAAATCACGTTATAAAAAATTTGTCTTACACTGAATATATATGTTGAGGGGATCGATAATCACTGGAAGTGGTTACTTTTACCAATGAACTAGTGTAATGAGTTAAAAATATCACTATTAGTTGAGTTATTCAATGCGCCGTTAACGTATACAGTAATCGTAACATCGTATCCTTGAATATAAAAATGCACACTTGTTCTTAAATTTTGATAGTTCCGACATGTAAAAAGGTAGTGAATAACGTCTTCGTTATAATAACCACATGAGCACCTGCGTGTGTCCGATATATGTCGATTATATATGTCTGCGTTTAGATCACTACAGCCGAGTTTGAGGCGACAATGAATGATTTGACAAAATCTAGTTCCAAAATTCAAATCAAAGTAGTTGTGAGTTTCTGTTGTGTTATCATGGTTTTAAATTGATTCAGGGAATTAGCGTTAACAGCTTCATCGAGCAATAAATTCCACGACATAATCGCGCTCGGTAGAAATGATTGAGAATATCTTTGCGTTCTACAATTAATCGTTTGAATGGAAGTACTATCTCTAAGATTATAGTTACTTTGTTGAAATACTCTACCTGGTACAAGCTAAGATCGTTCAGATAATCAGGAGTCAGACGATGATACATTTTATAGAAAGTTATGAGTTTAGAGCGATGTCGTCTTTCTTTCAGTGTGCTATAATTAGTTTCCCTGTATATTTTATCGTGACTGGTGCCACGAACCGCACCGCTTATAGTTCTTAAGGCGTCTAAATGTAAATTGTCCAGTAAAATCGCCTGTTTAATCGTACAATTATTCCATATATGACAGCACCAATCAAAAAGAAAGGACAATGAAAGTGAAATGTGTAGCAAGTATATACAAACTATACAGACACAGAAATATATACAAATATATAATATTTAGTCATAAACTGTGAACTGTCACCATTTGACCACTTTCTAAATGGCATTGTGTATTCATAACATTGGATAGGTGACACAGCAGGAATGCTTCCCAAAAACTGATACGGATCACATATCACACAACTGCAAGGTCAGGAACCAAACTCTTCCATAAGCTGTTCAGAAGACCGCCGAGGGACAACTCGTGTTGTTATACAGGATTGTTCGTTTTCGTATACTAGCTCCATTCTGACGGTCACCGATCATTGTCGAGACCCACCTTTACTACGTGTGTCACGTGCATAATAGTTAATGAACATTAATGAACAGAGTAAGTAAAGTAAGGCTCCACCGTACCTTTATAGTAAAATATATCGCATCGCTCTTGCTCTACGGTCGTTTTTAGATAACACCATCGTTTTCACTGCAACAGGGAGAGAGCATGGTTTGAGCTCGATTTCTACTGATGTTAACTCTGTCAATTATGGCTGCTTACAGCTGGGAGATTTCGCCTCTCTCTCGTCCTACAGCGTCTATCGATAATGTAATGTGATACCTGACTGCAAATCTATTTGTCAACGAGGAAGTGATGTGAGGGAAATGTCTCAAATGATTAAACGTTAAAAGGAAAAGAGCTCTTACTCAGGCGTTATTGCAACGTTTATATTGATTGGCGGTGTGTTTAGGAAAGAGTCAATCACTTTATGACATCAATCCAACATACCGCCTTTGTTTTGTTTGAAATGTAATGATATCGTCAGTTCGAATTGACAGTTCTTCATTAGAGGTAATGTATGTGACTCGGGGGTGGGTGGTGGGTTATTACGTTCTTTGAGTGCAGGATCTTTCACAAATAGTGCTACCGGCCTGTAGGATAATTAAAGCGCAGTTTATCGAATTGGCACTTACATCCAGTGTCATTGAAGGAATTAGAAACCATATAGTTGATTCCGTGATGTGCTGTTCAGGTAGCGTGAACAAACCGACACACCTGATGGACAAAAATATCCAATGCTCCAAATTGCCATATATTTCTAGACTCTTTATTTATTTATTTCAGGGAGAATTTAGGTATTACCCAATTTTGATTCAGATAATGATATATGAAGTATGACATTATCGTCTATATTCACCGGTTCGTCAAGCAATCCTTGTCCTCCAAATGTGGAACAGTTTCTATATACTAGTATGTGAAAGTACAAGTTTGACACCGTACACACATGTACACTGGTGGTATATATGAAGCCTATTTATCTTTATCACCTTTGGGTTGGTAAGATGTTCTTCTTGTACAGTTGTGGGTTTTTTATATTTGGTATTATTTCGATGTACCTTATCATTGCTTCTTTTAAACGCAGCGTGCACCGTCTTGATGATTGTGATACATATTTTGTTTGTCTTACCCATTCGTATGTTGTTCGTGGGCATCAAGTCAAATACTTTGGATACACCATCTGTACATGTAACGTCTGTGACGTCAAGAATAGCCTGCTTGTGATAAGCCGTTTATCATTACTGATTTTAATAGTAATGACATTACCCTTTTTCATGTAAGCTTGGACAAATAGTCTCCTTCCCTGGACAAGCTATAAATGAGATTTTTCAAGTGAAATTTATGTACAACATCATTATGTACAACAGTTATTTTGACGTATCGAGATATAAACGTGAAGAACATAACCCACTGTACAATCAAAGTCATGCAGACTATGCTCTGCACTTTGTTGGATGAAACTCCGCGTTAAACATGCGTTCGAATCCATGATTCTCACTGATGATGACTAACAGGTGCGTGAATACGCTTTTAGCAATATCCCAGCATTATCATGGCGGTGGACACCAGAAATAGGTTTCACACATTGTACCTGTATCGAACCACAAGGCTACCCCCACCGCCCAAAGGTGATGAAATAAAACAGATGGTTGCAATGATGACATTGTGTGACCTGTCTGACTGTTCATTCTGTCTATCCGTCACTTGTTGAACACGCAGAACACGAAAGTGTCTTCAGCAACCCAGGTGACTAACAGGAGTGGATGGTTAGGCCAACTGGCTTCGCTCACACATGCCATCGAATCTCAGCTGCGTATATAGATGCTCATGATGTTGATCACTAGATTGTCTGGTCCAGACTCGTTTATATACAGACAGCCGTCATATAGCTGGAATATTGACGAGTGCCGCGTCACACCAAGAAAAGTGTTTGAATGTACTTCTCTTTCTCTGTGTGTGTGTATGTGGTGTGTGTGTGTGTGTGTGTGTGTGTGTGTGTGTGTGTGTGTGTGTGTGTGTGTGTGTGTGTGTGTGTGTGTGTGTGTGTGTGTGTGTGTGTGTGTGTGTGTGTGTTGAGTGAGACGTCACATGCAGTCACGTAAAGACAATAAACACAATCCATACTACAACCTGAAGTTTATTCAGAGTTTCAGTCTACACCTCTCTCTACATATACATAGATTGTCAAAAGCTAAATCTATTTCCTTGTGAATAAAAATATATCTGAAATATACATGTTTCTAAATATAACATATTTTGGAAATCTATTGGAAATATTTTGTTTCATTCTGTTTCAGTTTTATTACTTTGTATTATAAATGTATTACTTAACTCAATGACATTTTATGGAATAAGACATGCCATATTACTTACAAATGTTGTCTGTTATTCTGCTGTATACATATACATGCAAATGGTTGTCATTTGCAGGTTTCGATAAGTTTGGATAAGTAAAATACCTGATAAGTAAACAATTTTGACGAGTCACTTAAAATTAAATCGAGTTTCCACTGTATAACATAACATAACATACGCATGTTACATAAATATCTGCGTGACGTCTCGGCCAAGAAAAGGTGACGGAAAAATATTCTTCATACTAGGCTTCAGGATCTACCTCGCTGAAATCAGATCGTTTTATGTGAAGATCAGACCATTTTCGAGTTAAAATCAGATCGATTTCATGTAAAAATCAGATAATGCTTCGGTTAGTTTCCGTGACATCTATTCGTGCGATTGTACTTCAGAAAGTGAAAATGCTTTCAATTGCTCTTAAATGTATACAATTGATACAATTTGTTTCGAAATGTAAACGTTGTAGAAAGTGTAAATATTGGTCCTCCACTATATATTCCACGCTTTTCGTGATATAATAAAAAGAAGAATGAAAGGATGATTGTTGGCCTGCTTTTGTAGGGCTACAATTCGTAAGCTAAAACAAACCCACGAAACAACAACAACAAAACACATGAAAAAGCATCTTATAATTGGCACAGGTGTAACACGGAAGTAATGGTGGAAGGTAATACGGTTTAATGTGGTGGTCATACTTTGTCCAATAAATGAAACAAACAAAACATGTAGAATTTATGGTTTATGAATTGTATGATATTTCTCACTGCCATATAAGTACAACCCTGTACATATGCAGTGATTGCACCAGATAGTTGTGAAGCATATATGCAAATCAGACTAATCACCGGAAATGCGTAAAGATCGAAGCCATTGTAAATCTACCTCTGAAAACAAATATAAAACCTAAATCTATACATGGTCAGTTATATCTAAATACTGTTGCGATAAAAAACCCTGGACCCCTATAGCCACTAAGTCATATGACAAGCAGATTACATCACTAATACTTGACTGACTGTGACATTCGTCACTACTCGCCTTGTTCCGTAACCTACATTCGGCTTGACACGGACTAGCACGAGATGTTCACGATTGTGGCTGCCAGCGTCTTGTGTCATTCGATGTACGAAGGACATAATGGCACTGGTATTGGAAAGGATTCTTCACGTCGATTTCATACAGTCATGTGTTATGCCATATTAGATTTATATTCGTTCTTGCATCGAGAATTCTGTTATATCACTTTGTCCATTGACCGCAGCTGGATTGGCAGTGAGCAGCAAATCTTTCTTTCTCATTTCAATCGCCTCGGCGTGTTCATCATATTTCATCTTCTTGTGCTCGTAAAACTCGAACATGACAATGCAGATGAGGATGAGGTTTTTGAGCATAAAGGGGGAGATTCCAACACTGAAGCCATGCCAGAGAACTAACCGAACAATCAGATTGGGAACATTTACCACCAGCACTACAAGCAGCTTGTGTAGCGCCACAAGACGTTTCGGCATCTTCTTGTGCCCAAAGTTGGTGAGGCTGAGTGTGATCAGGGGCACTGTTGGAATAATGAGATTGAGACCTGCCACCACTAAAACAGCTTCCTGAAGTCCCGGGAGGAACATGTCCCTTGATGACTTGTCGAACATCACCTCTAAGACATCCACGGTGTCCAAGACGTCGAAGACAACGGTTCCAGTTAGTTCTTCAATCAATCGCCTGCGTTCGCTAGCAGGAGGAGCGTCATGGTGAGACGTCAACAGCAAGACGAATACACACGATGCCAAGGCTAGGGACGTCTTTAATGTATTGGGGCCAAAGAATGTGTCTTCGCTTAACTTAAAGGAGAATTTGTTGAAAGCTATGGCCATCCTTGCTACTAGGCTTACCGAGTACACAAGCCATGCCAACCAACCAATTGTGACCGCTTTACTTTGCTCGTCACCGGCTTTCTGTAGTGCAAGGTGTCGTCGTGATATGACGAAGGAGGCGATGAAGAGGCCGACGTTGACAAGGTCGAACGCTATCCATGCCCAGCTGGCTTGGGTCTGATGTTTGGCCAGGAAATAATCCAGAATCCCTCCTTGTGTGAGTAGAAGCAGAATGCAAAGGATCCGAGCTGGGATGCCATTCAAGGCTCCACAACATCTCACAAAACAATCCCCCAGCCACATGGCTAATCATGAATTTCACTCTAATATCGGAAAAGTTGAATTTGACAAACTGAATATTGGAGAAAAAATTAAACCCGGCTATGTCAAAACAGGTAACAACATAAATGCTGTTACATGACCTTTAAGCGTTCGATCACTGTCCAGTACTCTGTATCAGGTTCGGGACCTTCTTCTACGACGACATCGGAAGATATTACTGTGTTTTGATCATCCGGTTTTCATCAAGACTTCAAACCATTCAATGTACTGAGTCCGAGAAACTAATTTCGAATTAGTTATACACGTGCATTCTATGACACTCCTTTGGTCCAAGGCTGGCAATTCTGAACCTGAAAATTGAAAACAAAATCGGAAAATGAAATAATCAAGTAAGTACAGCCTCATTGCATGTTCACGCATGTTCTTACAAGCGCTAATGAATCTGAACTTATTTCTTCCGTTTGTTACAGCTCTCAAACATTCTGATAAATTTATAACAAGCATATCACATTTGTGAAGCAGTTTACTGACTTGAAGACTGACAGCTAGACTCTGAAATTAACATATTTTACAGAAAATAAAAGTTCTTAAATTACAATTATAAACAGAATAAAAAGGAGCCCAGAGAATTTCTTCATTTTCAGAAACTGTGGAAATCTAGACTTGCCACATTTTCTAGGTATGGGCTTTCTTGGTTGGTATGACAGACTAACTGACTTGATGTGGTCGATTATCGACTAAACAAATACGAGATATCGTTAAAGTTGCATAACAAATGGGATTGTGATATTTGATTAGAAGGTATGTGTTGGTTGTTTAAACAACAGCATGAATTCAGAGCTAATGACTTGGTGGAAGCGTGCACTATTGTAAACATGCAGTGTTGCAGATGTATACGACGACGTCGACGTCGTCAACACGCGGTTGATTAAGAGAATATGGTTTGACCAGATAAGTCTACTCATCTGGCCCAAGGGATCCATATTTGTAATGGAACTGAGAAGAGTGGGATTTCAGGGGTGAGTCCAAGTTTTCTTAATTAATAAAACAGTAGGTTGGGTACATATAAACGTACCACCAAGTGAGGATTATGAGTCACATCTGGAACAGTTATACAACATACGATGATACATGTAGTACTTACAACTTTGCGATCTTCATGACTAAATAAGTGGGTCATATTTACACCTAAATGCAACCACAACTTCAGTGTATACGGAAGAAATATATAAATACAATAATAGTTCCACAGAAACTACAACCACTTTGTCAAATTATATTAATAGTAAAATATACTAGGCACATAAAGAAACTGTGCATACAAAAATTTAAAATCTAAATTTATCAAACCTGTGTAGACACATAAGGATTTAAACTCAGAGATTAGTGACATGTATCCAACATGCATGCACGTGCCACGTTCCGTGACGTCAGTGGGTTCGTCCTTGAGACGTGCAATACGTTGTTGCACGTGCATTCCGGGAAAGAGAAACAGAGCAAATGAATGCCACACAATACTGTCACTTTGGAAAGCTCAACCCCTGCCTTGCGATCGTTCAAAAATTAAACGGCTATTGAAACGCATAGCATGCCAAGGCTCACGTCTGCACAACGTCATGAGGCCATTGGGATGGTCCGTGGGGGAATGTCTCAACGACAAGTGGCTGCACATTTCCACTGCCACCGGAACACCATTTCTGCACTGGTGAGACGCTACCAGAACACAAATGACGTCATCGATCGGCTATGTTCTGGACGTCCACGTGTAACAACGCCAAGACAGGACATATGGATAAGGGTGACCCATCTTCGCCACAGGTTTCAGACTGCAGTGATGACTGCCCGAACCATCCCAGGACTTCGCCGTATCCACCCCAACACAGTTCGACAACGTTTACGTCATCACGGGATCAGACCACGACGTCCCACCATACGGCCTATCCTGACACAACGTCATCGACAAGCTCGCCGAATGTTGTGCCGAAATCATGTCCGCAGATCCTTGTTTTGGTGGAGAAATGTTGTTTTTACAGATGAGTCCAGGTTTAACATTTCCCATAGTGATGGACGTCAACGTGCCTATAAGACGCGTAGGAGAACGTTATGCACAGGCCTGTGTCTTGGAGAGGAATCGCTTTGGTGGTGGTTCCGTGATGATTTCGGGTGGAATAACAGCACGCCAAAGAACTCCTTTGGTGATTGTTCAGGGCAACTTAACTGCTGTGGGCTACAGGGATCAGATTCTTCGACCTGTGGCATTTCCTTTTCTGCAACGTCATGGCCCTGGATTAACATTCCAACAGGACAATGCCCGCCCTCATACTGCAAGGGTTGCTATGGATTTATTGCAACACCACAACATTGACTTACTGCCTTGATTCACCGGATCTCTCCCCGATAGAGCATGTTTGGGACGAGATGGATCGACGTCTACGCCGTCTTCCTCATCCGCCAGATAACGTCCTTGACCTTGCAACAGAACTTGAGAGAATCTGGCGTGACACCCCACAGGCCTTCCTAGCACGTTTGATAGGCTCTATGCGTCGTCTATGCACTGCTGTTCTCAATGCCGATGGTGTGCATACCCGTTATTGAGCTTGTGACATGGTCGTTTGACCCCTGTCTCGCTTGTGGACTCGTGACGTCATTGTGATTGACTTTTCAATTGAAATTCCCCGACTTGTTATGGTCTCATGATCCCTCCATTAAAGTTTATATGTACCTTTGACATTGTTATCGTACTTATCAACTGGGATAATATTTTGACAATGCACAGTTTCTTTATGTGGCTAATATATGTATTGAACAATGATATTTATTAAAATGTTTATGAACAAAACTGATTTCATTTCGATTGCTGATATATATATATATATATATACGCATTTAGCTGTGTTTGACCACTATGCGATCACCACCCCTACATGCTGAATTTGAAAATCAGTTTCTGCGTAAATGACCCCAGTAGCCTATTCGGGCCGAAACAGACAATTGTAGACAAAATGAGAAAAAGAGTCTTCCCATAGACCCCCACATGCCCTCAGCAATTAAAAGTTCAAGTCAGCGATTTAACGAGCGCTGGCTGAGTGGGTTAGATCGCTGACTTTGTGTACTGGCGATCAGGTGCCTGATTCTGAGTGTGAGGGTCCGAAATCCGGATGGAACTCAGCCTAACAACAGTACTAGAACATTTACTGTACCGAGAAAGTGCAGATAAGGACGAACATTATGGATGAACAACTTCTTCCTTCGTATGATGCGAATAAAGAAGTTGTTCATCCATAAAGTTTGTCCTTAATCGGATTCTAAACATGCCACTCAAAGAAGTTATGAGAAAGTGTACTCGGAATATAACATTTGTCACTTTGTTACCCGGCTTGTTATGGGATAACAAGTTATAATCCTTAAAATAGAAGGGAGAATACCGTAAGTCAATGATCATTCTCAGAGATGTTTAAATATCTATTGTGGGATCAAGTGTGTTATACAAGCATACCTATGCATGAACGATCTTCAAACAATAAGCTTATGTACATATGTCGATGGGGAATCAGCATCTCAAACGGTAGAGCTTGTAAGCACAGCAGTAATCATATTCCTTCTTTCAACCTAACATCGCATAATAATCATTTTAACACATATCTCAATTATACCCCAGCAGTTCTTATATAAATCATATATAGATTATATTTGCTCATCTCAGCTGTCGTAATATATATCGATTAAACGATATTTGCCATTGAACCAATTATATATATTAGTTCACTATCAGCATATTAATGATGTACTGTACATTTAATGTGTCCATACCTGGGTCCAATATAGGCACAACTAACCATAACAGCACATCTAATTCACTTACATATTCAACAACGACTGAGATAACGCCAAGCTACTGATCCAGCGAGGTTGAGGTGCCGGGATCGAGCCCACCTGTGACAGGGTGTAAAAACCTTGGAGTCAACTTTGTGTGCAGACTCTTTCAGTGTTGTCACAACCCCTAGTGTACAGTACACAACCCTGTGAACTTAAAAGAGTCCACAAATCCGTTGGTATGTGACCAGATGGTGGCCACATGAATGCTTGCAAACATCCAGTTGCGGGTACGGCAACGTGCAGTAAACTTGGACAAAGTACTGTGACTATGTGTTCCAGTCCACCCAGCTGTGAATGGGTACCTCGTAAGGATGAAGCCGCAATAACTCGGTGCGCCTAGTGGCTGCAAGAGTTGTATGTTCCCAAAGGAGTTGAGATTGATAATAAGATGTGCCGTTGAGATTGACATCCAATGATCGAGGGAACAAAAACCAGCGCCTTGAGGATGCACTAGTTGCATGGATATGTGCGCTATATAAATATCCTTTATATATTATGCATGACAATGTGCATGCAATTACACTATATGCATGATATTGCCACTTTCGATTCATATATAATACACTTCAGTCATGACATTATCTATAATGAATAGAGTTGTACAAGAGAGCTTACCTAAAATAGAATGGAGAATTCCGACAGTCAAATGATCTGTCAAAGAAATGTTTCGACATTGTGTTGATTGGAATTCACTGACCTCTATTTATAGTCTAACTAAAGTCGAAACATCAATGATCAATGCTGGAATTCTTTTGCGATTGGCCAAAACATATACTTTGTCTTAGAAGAGGTTTTGTTACCAACTGTAACTGTTTGGACAAACCGAAATGAGTTTTTGGAGGGGTAGACACGTGACACGATTATGAGATCCGCTTAACAACTTTTACTTTATTATTACTTAGTTTATTTCACTTTGTTTTTACAGCTCTAGTCCGGATGTCGTATTAGTCATTAAGAGCTGGTGTCACAAAACCGTGACACAATGGTAATTGTGTTATTACAGTCTGGCTGCCTATACAATGGTCATTAAGTAAATTTACCGGTGCATGAAACAATAGCTTTAATTATCTGTACAAAGTGCGTTACATCAGCTTGACCTATGACATCAAGGATAACTAAAGTGCTATTTCAATATTAGAAACGCTCAATAATGAACGTGGTGTATACATATTTATATTTCGCCAAAGCAGAAACCTGCAGGATAGGCGAACAAGCATATTGGCATATATAACCGCCGCTCCAGTACATTGTTCAAATAGCTGGATACATAAATGAAATAATTTGACAACAATAGAAAATACAATAACAGATATATGTTTGAGTAACAAATATGTTCGTTGTCGTGTTGGTTATGCCTAGCATCGAAATGGGCTGCCGCAGAAAATCACGTTATATAAATTTGTCTTACACTGAATATATATTACTCATTCACTCACTAGAGAAGTGTGGTGTGACATTGTGCCTTTAATTAATGTTTCAAGCTTTCAGTTTCCATTTCATCTGAAATTGAAGTACAACCGTTATTGTTTGATGAAGATATATAAATGGCCATACTTATAACACGATGCTGTCATGGCGGAACCAGGAGACGCAAGCTGTGCCTCGCAACCGTGGCTACGTACAAGATTCTGTATAGGATAGTATTTATCGACTCATCGCTATCGTGCCATACCACGTCGGCTTTTCACTTGGTATATTTATTTCAAAATTAAGTTTATGGTTTGGTTAAGTATTGCTTTGAACACTTTCTAAGTTATAACAGGTCGACTAGTGTGAGAGGAAAGCTAGTGTTAGGCGTTTACAAGACTGGCAAAACTTTCATTGGCAAAATGCTGAGATTAAAACAATTATTAACGATTATAAAGCAAGCTTTAAGGATAAATTAAGAACAATTTTTCAGGGACTCAGAGTAGTCCGGACTATGGAGAAAATCGGATTACAAATTCCGGATTTGACAGATTCCACTTTAGTATAAATTTTGAATTTTGATCATAAGATTACAAAGCACACACTAATTGACTTATGTCGTGTGTGCGCAGTCATAGTTTATGCTCTCTTCGATATTGTTGCAGCCCGCCTTGACACAACACGACGAGACACGTATGTTGTGTAATTTATCAGTTTCACTTGATTCCACAACAACGGTTTTTATAAACTTGTTATACGAGGAGTTGACTCTACTCATGGCTTTTTGTCTTATAGTTTTAGCATGACCATATGATCTTGAAGGAGAATGTTGTTTATCTAATATCTTTTCACTATAAACATTCTCTTTTACAAGCAAGGTTAACGTTTCTTTGTTGTCTAACGCCACACTGAGCAATATTCCAGCTATATGACAGCTATATATGACTCTGAATCAGATAACCAAGTGATCAACATCATGAGCATCGATCTACTCAATCGGGCTATGACGACTTGTGTCAACCAAGTCAGCGAGCCTGACCATCCGACCACAGATCTACAAGCATGGGATGCTGAAGACCAATTCTAACCCGGATCTTCACGGGTTTATAATATGGAGACTCACAACAAGCATCTAACATTTATAAAACCAATAACGTCAAAATCAGAAATTAATCATTTTCGATTATCCGACGGAATAATGCACAGGGTGTAGAAACAAAATAGTTATGTATATTACACGAATGGATCACTGAAACTCGCTGATAACACCAGGTGTTTGCTATAAGCTAACGAAGGAACTATTCTGACACACACACACACACACACACACACACACACACACACACACACACACACACACACACACACATCGCTCTCGCTCGGGCAATACAAAATTTCACACTCGTTTCGTATAAGTAGTATGATACACTTGCTCGTGTAATAATCTCCATATATCGAACATATCTCTATTACGACGCAGTAGTATTCCATACGTTTGAAAACGGACACATCCTTTTAATACCATATGGTAAACATCAAACACCTTTTGCAGGCCTAGGCATTGTGTTTAAACACAAATGGATTTTGGCACTTTGTGCAGTGGTGTCGTTTTTAGAAAAATTGAAACCAGTAAATATCAGGTGCGGTATCGATGCAAACTCTGATAGGAGAGTGAGGTGTTCCCGGAGGTGTTGTGTGATTGAAATAAGCTTAAAGCTCCTCCTACCATGGACCAGATGTATGGTATGACAGCTATTAAATTGCTTGGTTAAAAATATAATGTATTACTGATAACGCTGCATCCATACCCATTATCTGCCAGCTCAGTCTTTGGTCTTTCTCACGCCATGGTAACGTGTGTCGACAAAACGGATGGTATATTCGCAACGTTTACACCTCATGATATGAGTGGGTAGCGTACTTCACGTACATGTGGGTTGCGTTTTGTCAAATCTTGTCAAACTGAAACCATCTTTCCTATTAGCTGAAATCTAAACATAAGCATCAGTAAAATATCAACGACCGAAAGCTACATTACTATGGTGAAATATATTGGGGGCGCTTAATTAAGTTCCATGTAGACAAGTTTATATTTTGAATATTTTCCCCATATTTTATGTTTATTTACAAAAACAAATACATCGATTATTGTAAATGGGTGTTGCCCAAACACATTGTTTTGCTACGAACCTGTAGGACGTCAAAGGTGATTTCTCAAGTGTTGTTCGGACCTAAATATCGTAAACTGCCTTCTACCCATTTTAAAATCATTATTGATGCTGTTGAAGCATATGCCAAATTTGGGCCAAAAGAGAATAGGAACCTGCAGAATGTCTTTCAGAGTGGGTTGATGCTGTCAAATGTAGAATGCACTGACTGAAAAATGAGGAAACAGAATTAGAATAAACCCTGTGTGTCCCAGCCAGCTGTTATTCCTGCATTCCGACTTCCCTGCAAGAAATGTTTGTAGTTGCACCCACTTACCAAACCTTAAGTAACACAACCATCATAACCATTACATAGACTGTTTGATGAAAGAGTTTGGTATACGTGACATATCAAATAATGCAAAATACAATGTATAAGTTATGAAGAAATCTGCCAAATCAAGGTTTGACTCTGAAACCTGAAGACATGACCATGACTGGATTCCAAAGCTGCATACAAAAACCGCACAAAGAGAGATAAGTTGCTGGGTCCAGCAACACAAGGAAGGACTTTCTCTATATTCACAGAAGGTGTATGAGATGTGCGGAATCAATAGTGTGTGGGTTCTCAAAAACACAAAGGATTTAATTGAAATCTTACAAGATCAGAAACGGACCGAGGTTAGTTCCGTCAAAACATTTGATATTTCAACTATGTTTCAACTTTATTCTTCATCCATGGGGCATCTGTAAATAAACGTGGTGAACAAACATATACTTATTTTATACATGTAATAAGTAGCAAAAGAAAGGCACTGCAGGTCCCGTTGGACCCTAGTATGGTGATCTACCTCCAGTTGTTGGCGATCAATAGCCTGTTTTTATATTGTATAGTCCTCTATAGTTATTTTAGATTTAATCACTAGTTTTAAGTATACACCTGTGATGGTCTAGTTGGTTTTACTGTCCTTTGTCGACAGCTATTTAAATTGATTACCTTGTTTTCATCGCTATATGGCTGTAATATTGCCGATGCGATGTAAAATTTTAACTCACTCACTGCAGCTACACCCAATCACAGATACATAGATGCACAAATCGTCTCGTCAATAGATTCTGTTGTGAGACGTAATGAAGCTGATACTGGTTGTGGCTTTGCTTGTCTGCCTTCTGGCGATCAACGATGATGGGCTCCACACCCGCTCCAGCCCGTTTTACTGGATGTTCTGGAGAAGTACGACAGTTTGCATCAAGAGTGAAGCGAGCAACTTGTCTAAATGTCCCGGAGTCTTTGACATTCACTACCTTGGCAAACCCAGTGAGTACATATATGGTGCTGACAAATCAAGAATAATATTCGGAGCAGTTCCTGGATTCGATGATTCTGGAATGATGAGAATTGAATGATCCCCATCCAATTAAGACGCTTCGGATGTGTGTGCTATATGTCTCTCTCTAACTGCGATAACGACCCTCTTAATTTCCTTATATTTACAACTGTTAAATATTTTTCACACATAAAATGTTGTTTAAACAAAGAATACGAATATGAACATTTTCCAGTTTGATACAAAATGTGTCAATCTTTTAAACAGCAGCGCTGTTATTTCTTGAACATATTTCGTAAACGCAAAGATGAGGCGTCTCTAGCCACTTATGAACAATTCAATTCAATTCAATTTATTACTCAAAACACCACCAATGGTGGTACATGAGAATACAATATTACTATAGTGATATAAATATATTCATGACAAGATGTCAGATAAAAGCGAAAAAGAACCAAAGGTTAATGTATCTTTGTAGACTTAAATATTACATTAATGTAGGTAGCAAGATTTTTAAGATTGCGCGTTTGTTTAGACGAGAACAGTTTGACGACTTACCACAAGGTTATTGGGTTCAGGTAAGAAGGTAAATATGTTTGTCTATACAGTAATAAAGCTTCGCATTTGAGTCCATCTCCCACAGCATGAGAGTTGCATAAATTACACAGACGATATTCTGTAGACATGCATACAAATCAGCCTGTAAGACGGCCAAGTGCAACCATAAGCAGTCAATTGAATTGAATGGTGAACCTAAATCGTTCTTGCAAACATTGAAACGCTTAACCGGTAAGGTTTCATCATCGAATAACATGTCCAGAGACTTGGTTTAGCTATTTTCGGGACCTTTTTGCTGAAATCCAGAATGACCCACCCCATCAATGATCCACCGTTCGAGGATTACATCATGCTGAGTCAATGTGACTTGCAAGCGACTGATGAAATGTTTGATTCACCAATTAGTATAGGTGAAATATACGCCAGTATTACCAAGCTCAAGGCAAATAAAGCGTCTGGGGATGATTACATAATTGGCGAAATGTTTCAATTTTCAGCAAATTTTCTCCTACCTTTTCTGGAAATTTTATTCAATTCTCTTTATGATAAAGGAGAGTTCCCTTTGTCCTGGTCCAAAGCTATTATTATCCCATTTTATAAAAATGGAGATAAACCTATACCTGCAAATTACCGTTCCATATCACTTCTCGGTGTATTTGGCAAACTATATACTAATATCTTAAACAATAGACTTGTATCCTGGGCTGAGTGCTGCAATACAATCAAAGAGGAACAAGCTGGTTTCAGATCAGGATACTCTACCATTGGTAATATCTTTACCTTACAGGCCCTTATCAGTAAATACATCTCAAAAAGGGTGGAAAAGTCTATGCTTGTTTTATTGATTTTTCTAAAGCCTTCGAATCTGTCAATAGACAAAGCTCTGGTATCTATTTAAAAGGAACGGACTTGGTTCAAAAATGGATGAAGTGTTGTCTGTGTATGAAAACGTGAAAGCATGTGTACGTTCATCGAATAACGTAAACGCAGAAGTATTTGAATGTCCCCTAGAAGTACGGCAAGGTTGTGTTATCAGTCCTTTTCTGTTCTCATTTTTCATTAATGAATTGGTCAATAAAATCACGTCCACTTCAGCGTTCAGTTATTCCCGGGCTTACTCGAGCTGTTCCTTCTTTAATTTGCTGATGACGTTGTTCTGTTTTCTGATACGGTAATTTGACTCCAAAAGCAAATTGATATGTTAGAGAATTCCTACGAAACATGTTGTCTCCAAGTAAATTTAAACAAGACAAGTATTGTTGTATTTAAACATGGAGTCAGACTTTCTAGAAAGGAAAATTGGATCTACAAACTTGCTCCAATTAAAGCAATTCATCATTATACAATTACCTTGGTATGCTATCTACTAAAAGTCTCACTTGGCAGGCATCCATAAACAGTCTGACTCTTAAAGCTAAGAAGGCTCTCATAACTGTTCAGCGTAGTTTGTCTAAGTTTGAAATTCTCTCATATGAACTATATTTTAAAATCTTTGACACTAAAATACTGCCAATTCTATTGTATGGTTCTGAGTATGGGGTATTCAAAGGTATAAAAAGCATTGAAAGCATTACAGTTGCAAGCATATAAACGTTTTCTGGGCATCCGCAGATAAACAACTAGTGATATTGTATTAGGTGAATGCGGAAGATACCCAATCTATATCTTGGCACTGAAACGTTCTATTTTATATTGGTTGAAAGTCATCTCAATGCGTCCTCACCGCTATCCCTTAAAATCCTATAAAATTTTACTGTATTTGGTTGAAAATGCACGTGAGGCTAGAAATAAACACAACTGGGCTATGTTAATTAAAAATGCATTGTTCCAACTTGGTCTTGGATATGCATGGGTTGGACAGGGAGACAGCTTGTTTATCCATTGTCCAAGAAAAATTAGTTTCGATTTGAACAGCAAGCTCATTGATGAATAATGAAAACATGAGTGGACTAAGTATACATAATTGCCTTATACCAAGTTGTAACTCGTATTCTTGGTTATTTTAACACATGCCTTCATATTCTCATACATATTAGACAAAAGTTTACTCAAAGTTTGTTTTGTTGAACAGAATGAAACGCTTTCGCAAAATCTCCAAACAGGGCCTAGAATCTCCTCCTTTTGAATTCAAATATCTTTGTATCATACTTTGTAATATAAACATGTTGTCAACAGTGGTATATCTATGTCTTATATCAGATCACTAACTATCAGACGAACAAGGAACACGTCAGAACGTAGTCTTTTATTCTCGGGGTGTTTGTACTTTACAACTTATTACTTTCATTTAATGTGGACGTCCATGTGTTGGCCAGCAGGTGTAAAGTAAGTTGTCGATGAACCCGTGTGTTATTGAGTAGTTATGTATGGCAGAATTGACGGTATAGAAACCTATAGACTGTTTCCACTGAGTACTAACTGAGCTACTGCGAGTCCCATTGTGTTATCTATGGAAGTCTATCAGTGCCATTGTGTAGCAATTATCATCTACGTAAAGCATACTTACATCTATGTAGAAGAAGAAGTCGAGATCGTGAGTTTACAGAAAACTTGAAAATATTGAGAAGATAAATGAAAATACGACCGTGTAATTAAAGTAGCGGCAAAAAACTGGACATATGTCACAAATAGACACATAAGAGTGACAAAGGCAACCAAAGTGGAATCATTTGGGTTTTGTTAGGACATGCTTTAACTGCAGCTACACCCAATCACAGATACATAGTTGCATAAATCGTCTCGTCAATAGATTCTGTTGTGAGACGTAATGAAGCTGATACTGGTTGCGGCTTTGCTGGTCTGCCTTCTGGCGATCAATTCTGATAAGCTCCACACCCGCTCCAGCCCGTTCTACTGGATGTTCTGGAGAAGTACGACATTGTGCATCAAGAGTGCAGCGGGGCACTTGTCTAAATGTCCTGGAGTGCAAACGAACTTTCAACATAACTGGGATCCTCTAGGCAAGAGAGGTAATCTGCTGATATGTATTAGTTAGGAGAAAGACAACTCTTGTCTTGATGGCTCGATAGTTTTATGTTATAAAAGAGGAAAAGGATAAAAACAAAGTTCAACGGTTATAGGGTGGGGCGGATTATATGTTTTCTAAATTGTGGGTAATTAGTACGAAGGCCTCATTGTGTCACTTTGTGATAAAATAATCCATGTAAGGAGACAATACTTGAACTTTCAAGTGTTTGAAAGAACCTTGAACTGGTGGTCAGGATCTATGGTCGTAATGAGATATACTGTCATTGTCAGCTTACTGATAGAGAACAATACTAGCAGTCACTAGGAAACAATAGGTTTTCAAACCTGGGCAGGTTTTAAATCCAGTCATTTATGAATACAGTTAAAACCATTAGGCATTATGTCAAAACACCTCAGATGATCCTTTATGACACGACCTTACACTACCATAACACAACAGCCCCATTAACCTCAGCCGGGCACAGACATGCTGCTGACAAACATGAAACAAAACTCGGGGCGAACGGGGATTCGAATCCACAATCATATTTCTGACAGAAAGACTGAAGGCAGGATGAATAGAAACAACTGGAAGAGTGGCAATTGGCTTAATCGATGATGTAATAACAGTTGTAATCTTTTGGACATACCATATTGCAGCCGTAGAGGATAAAGAGGGGGACGATGACCAGTTAGAGAACGAAGACCTTGTTAGCGCAAGAGATGTCTATGAGGCTGTTGATGCAGTTGACAAAGCAGGTAATACTGTGCTATATTATGTACATTATGAACGCTGACATTCATGGATCGTCCCTACACGATATTGGCCTTGAGAATGTACACCTTTCCATTGCTTTGAAGAAGCTACATGTGGCTGTCCCCACAAACAATTACTGTGACTGTCTTTGGTTTGATGCTTCTTTTAACTGTATTACTGTTATTTCATCGCGTTTCTGCTCCATGTAGTAGGAAGCCCATGACGATAGGTCACACCCAAACGATCCAATAAACACAATCGTAGCAAAGGAGCAAGACGAAGTTATATGGCGTTAATAACATTACAGGAGTTCACAAATGGAGTTAATATTTTGAAATGTTGTAGTGGCAATTAAAAACATCACAAGTATGGAACCTTTTGTTTTGTTTCCAGACAACAGTATTCATAGTATTCGACAGCCAACCGAGTAACGGATTATGGGCAACTCTCTGTAAGTAATACACAGGTTTTATATTCGCTTGTACGACTGCACCTAAAATATTGGAACTGTAGCAGTTTGTGCAACTTATCTTACATTCAAGGTTGACCGGGTAATCATATCACAGTTATATGAATTGAACCTAGAATTTTGTGTATTAAGTTGAAGATTAATTTTAGACGTATTACTTTTCAGGATTTACTCCAGTAGACCTGAGACAAAGCGATCTCCCTGATCACCTGAAGATAATAAAACCATGAAGCGTTGTTTTAAGTTGTGGTTATCGCTTGATGCATATGGCTGTTGCCGGGACATTTGAGACTGGCAGGTAATGGCTCATACGTTAACTCGATCAAGAGAGGACGTAGCACCATTGCTTCATGTCCACGATAATGTGTCCCTCATTTGAAGTAATGGTGGGCGTGCGTTCACAGTTTGGTTGTTTGTGTGTTTAACGCCACACTCATCACTATTGCAGCCATGTGACAGTGGACTGTAAATAATCGAATCTGGACTGAAAAATCTAATGATTGACATCATGAACATCGATCTTGACGATTACAATGACATAAGTCAATCAAGTCAGTGAGCCTCTCACACACATACACACACACACACTCACACACACACACACGATCATGTTAGTCGACATGTAGATGATTTCTAAACTGGATATTCAAAGGGTTGAAGGGTTGTCATTATAGTGACACGGTAAATATTGTCACTCACGCTGAAACACATACATACACACACTCAAAGTAATAAAAATACCATAAGAATAAAAATATAAAGACACACACACATTGGGGACTGAAAGACGTGCACACACATTGTATATTATAAGTTGCATAAAGCGTCATTGGCCAATGAAATTAAAGTATTTTACATGAAGGTAGGAATAATATAAGTTGTATGCTTCTCTCGAGGGTAATACGGTCTGATGTACGCCTCTTTGTAAGCAGTGTCACCCGAGCCGGTAGGCGAGGGATGACGATGCTACAAAAAGGCGTACGTCAGACCATATTACCCGAGGGAGAAGCATACAACGTATTTATCTTACCGCCATGTTAAATGTAAAAAACATCATTTTATTTTATGTTTAAGATCGCCACCGACTATATGACATGTAAACAAAATGGCGTCTGCCTCTCGACTGGATTTTTAAAATCAGTGAAACATATTCTGACAAGCTTAAAACTGCTATTAAGATGATTAATTATGTTTAAGTTGAGTGTGAAAACCACTCAATGCATAAAATAGCTGAAATATAGCAGTGAAAGTCGGTAAGATTTATCTGTACAAAGTGAACACAAAAACAGCTGATTGAAGTAAGGCGAGATGAGAGGATATGTTGTGGTTCCACGTCTCGAATGTATGATGTAGACTTGATTCCACAGTGCAGGGCAGGCAGTAAATATTCCATCCATGTAGATGTTCTCGTCTGACTGCAAGGCCTGAAGACTCAAATCGTGCTGGCGATTTGATGCCTGACTCTGAGGGTATGGGTTCGATTCCCGGATGGGACTAACCCCAAAAAGTACTAGAATTTGTACTTTACTGAGAAAGTGTAATCCCAACTATATAACATATGTAGCAATTAGTTGTGCGCACGTTTCCCGTCCATCTACCGGTGATTAAGTTAAAACATACCCAATAATATAACGAGACAAATTCTAATGCAGTGATCGGGAAAATGTAGTATCTAAAACTATTATTTTGCAAAGAGAAATAAACTCTAGCATTGTGTCATTTTAATTACAGGTATTGCTCTATAAATGTCAAATATTTATAACAATAACTAAGGTTATGCGGCAGCACTTTGAGGTTATGCCGGATAGTTTTTATGCATGGAATAATTTTACCTGTCACAGATGAGGTTTCGTGCGATCTCGCTATTTCCACTGCGTAAACAGTTTGTCGTCAAGCTGCAACAGATATGACTTTTAGCGAAACAAAATTTATATACGTATCCATTTTCTATCAACTACACTTCATTTAATTTCGAGGCGCGAGTAGACACAATATGGTTTAAACATATTTTTATTCCGTCAATGCAGAAACCTGGATAGGCGAACAAGCCAAGTGGCTTATATAAACGCCGCTCCAGTACACGGTTCCAATATAGCTGGATACATAATTCAAATAGTCCGACAAGAAAAGAATAATACTGAGACAAAATTACACTCAGAAAAATGATTGAATAATAAATATTTGGTTATGGTGTTGGTTGTGCCTAGCAACGAAAAGAGCTGCCGCAGAAAATCAAGTTATATTAATCTTGTCTTGCATTGAATATACATTTATGTGTAGAGGTGATAATCACTCGAAGCGCTTACTTTTAGAAATGAACTGGTGTAATGAGCTGAGAATGTCACAATTTGTTGAGTTATCCAGTGCGCCGTTACCGTATAAGGTAGTTTTCACATCGTATCCTTGAATATAAAAATACACCGTTGTTCTTAAATTTTGATAGTTCCGACATGTAAAAAGGTAGTGAATGACGTCTTCGTTATAATGACCACATGAACACTTAGCTGTTTCTGATATATGTCGATTATATCTGTCTGCGTTCAGATCACTACAGCCGAGCTTGAGGCGACAATGGATGATTTGACAAAATGTAGTCCCAAAATTTAAATCAAAGTAGTTGTCAGTTTCTGTTGGATTTATCATGGTTTTAAACTGCCTCACGGAAATAGCGTTAACAGCTCCATCGGGCAATGAATTCCACGACATAATATGACACAATATGATTGTGAAACACTGATTGCTGTGATTAATGTGGACCGAAGTTATTTATAAGTGCCAGTGGGATACACGGTATAACCGCAGTTAATATAAACATTCTTGAATGACACTTTGAGTACAATTAGTAAACTAGATTGCAAACAAATGTGCAGATATTTAGAATATTAACCAGCGTAATTCACTATGGATAAGTGCCTCTATTTCCGATGACTGAAAACGTAGAATATGTGTACGTGTTTTTAACCTATGGCTGGCCGAAGGGATGGTGCAAAACCAGCTAGGGTCCATGCAGGTAGCAAAGGTAGTTTAAGTCCCTATGGGCCCTAATATGGTGACCTACCCCCTAGTTGCTGGTGATCTCCAGCCCGTTTTTTTTATATTATATTGTCCATCAAATTTTGTTCACATTCTATTTTTAATTCTCTGTCTGTGATAATCTAGTTTTTACTGCCCTTCGTTGATTGATTTTTATTATGTAATTGCGTTTATTATGAATTTATAACTTTTGAAGTCACGATATTGCTGAAATATTGCCAGTGTGCCTATAAATTTTAACTCACTCAGATTACTGATCAGGACGAGAACATGAACGAAGGTTGGCGGGTGAGCTTGTCCACGAAACATATCATTTTGATACTGATTTTATGGATCAAGGCCTTGGCTTATCTACGGTAATACATGTACTAGTTTTCGGTATCTATATATCATACTGGTTATGGATCGAACCGTAAATCGAATCAAGAGTAAATACAGCACTAGTAAACTACGGTTATAACGAACACAAAGGGGCCACTAATTGCATAACGTTATAACAGTTGTACGCATATCAACTAATATGTACAGCAAGAGGCGGGGACGAAAATGTACGGAACAGTATCTGAAAAGCTGCAGGCCTTAAGTACCCAGAACCATAAAAAGTTGTGGGTCCTGATCAGAATATGTAGGCCCTATATTTTAATATGGCAATGGGGATGAAAAAGCTGTCCACAATAAGGACCTGCAGAAAATGAAAGCCGTGGGTCCGAGTGGTTTTCAGTCGAATTCGGGACTAAGGACCGACATTAGTTTCGAACGCTGGAACATTCACGTGCACATTTGTCGAAGTTCATAATTTATAATGCGGTTGCAAGGTCGTGCAAGTGTGCCTTTATGTAGTTGCCAAAGTAAATAATCAACATGTATTTAGTTTGGCCTCGTGTCTTATCCTATGAAGAAATAATTACTGCTCAAATGTATGTTCTTTCTCAAACCACTGTCTTCAAAACTGTTTGATGCCGATGGTTTCGTACGATATGAATACACAATGCAGTTTAGAATGTGATTTAATGCTACGCCGCTTTTAGCAATATTCCAGCAATGTCACGGCGGGGACACCAGAAATGGGCTTCACACATTGTACCCATGTGGGGAATGGAACCTAGGTCTTCGGCGTGATGAGTGAACAGATGAAACACTAGGCTACTCCACAACTCTTTTAAAAGTGTAGAGAATCATGACATGTTAAGACCAAGTGTTGGACCAAAGATGAGAGTTGCCCACAAACATCATATGGAAGGCGGTATACATGTCAGTACATGCACTTTAAATGAAACACCGATAACTAGTAGTGTTGGTTTAAGTTAACGCTCATCACGTACCGCACATGCGTTTGTTTCACTGTTCCATCTACTGTGCTTACCCCCTTGTAATACAAACCAATAATAGCGATTTGAATCTATGATCGTTTGTTAAACAACTTTTATCCTAAGTTGAATAAAATTCTGAGATTTAAATGTTCATTTGGCAAGGTAACATTATGAGGATTCGCAATCTTAATTTCACTTTATTTGATTTACTATTTTGTTAAAGTGAAATTCATCGGTACGTTTTCACTGCAAACAGACTATAATAATTATAAAAAATATTGCAGGATATTGAAACGAAGCGTTCATAAATCGCCCGCTTTCCTGGGGTTTATGCGACTTACTCGGGAGTAATTATAGCCAGTAACATCGTTGGCCCGCCTGGCAATCTTTATCGTGATACATAGTTTTATATGAATATCAATCATGTATTATGTATAATAAATTCGTACCCCCTGAATTTCACCTAAAAATATCATGATAGCAAGAAAGAAACAGTCGCTAAAATTGTAAATGGTGAAATATTTTCTTGAGACGGCCATGACTCTGTCCTGTTTCTCCGACGCAGGCGATAACAGGAAGTAACTTGCTGTAAATACAACATGGCAGCGCTGAGCCCGTGTGACCCGTGCAGCTATTCCAGGCCAGATCTGTGTGCTGTTGTGTACGCCGATCTCGATATCGCCGTGAATTTCGACAAGAAAGTCATCAGTGGAACAGTACATATTACTGTTGAAAAGAAACAAGCAGCAGCTGAAACAATCGTAAGTAATTTACCGGCTTGAGCGACAAAGCGGGGTTATGGGCGCAGTTCGTTTGAAAACAGGGTTGCTCAACTTACCGTACACGCTGGATCATGAGGATAGTAAACTGTTGGTACCAGCTGTGTCGTTAGACTGGCAGATTTAGAACCAACTAATCTGATGTTAAAGGCGATCACACAGGAGTTCGACTTATTCTGTGCCATTTTTAATTCAATTTTCCCTATATTCACTTTCAGTAGAAAGCTTATCCCAGCCAAATACAATGCACCCACTGTTAAAATCACGGGAGTTAGAATTTTGAAAACTACGGCTACATCGTTATTGAACCTTGAGTTTTTTTGTACAATTATTTTTTAAATTATACCAAACATTTGGTCATTCAAAAGGGCTGACACTGACAGAAACCTGAAACAGTTACTGCTATGATGGCCATAGAATTAGGTATCTTATATAATTATTGAAAATATCAGAAATATGTTGAGCTCAATCTTGTACTCAGTGCCTGCCTGAGTTTGGTTTTACGCCGCGTTTAGCAATATTCCAGCAACATCACGGCGGGGGACACCAGAAATGGGCTTCACACATTGTACCCATGTGGGGATTCGAACCCGGGTCTTCGGCGTGACGAGCCAACGCTTTAACCATTAGGCTACCCCACCGCCCCTTTTACTCAGTGTAAATTGATGGTCAGATACCTGAACAACAACTGAGTTCCCAAATTACCAAGATGTAGACATTGTATAAAACTGAAAGAACACAGAGTTGATGACAGTGATTATAAGTTTTAATGAGTCAGAATTATCTGCAGTTGTTGCTGACAGTGTTGCTAAAGTATGACATCTTGAATCACTGTTCTGTCCCAAATGCTGTGATATGTTTATATATGACTGACTGTTACCAATGTGTAGCCCCTTTTACAAACATCGCCATGAATAGCTGCAAAATTGCTGATGCAGTGTTAAGAAATATTCACTCACTCATTCACTTTTACGAACAAACACCTTGAGCAGGAATTTTTCTTTGGCAAGTATATATATATTTGTACAAAAACCTGTTGGTGCCCCTTTGGTAGCATAAATTATGTTTTTAAACCATAATTTTTCATAATTTAATTTTTTTAAAACATTTTGAGAACTTTCATGTTACTTTGAATATATATAATTTCGTAAATTCGATGAGCTTTTTTCATTGTTTCAAATTCATACCCCATACTCAAAATTTCTATTTTTTCTCATTGCTTAGATTGTTTTCTCATAATTTTAGTTCTTTTCTTGTTATTTCAAGTTATTTTCAAAACGAAAATTAAAGTATTTTCTCATTACTTGTTTCTCATTGTATACAGTTTTTTTTAAAAAGTTTTTTGGAATATTTTGGCATTGCATAGATTATTTCAAATTTATTTAAAATGTTTTCTCAAGCTTATAAAGTCTTTTGCTTGTTACTTCAATAATCTTTTTGTAATTTGTATTATTTTCTTGTTATTTGAAGTATATTTTCAATGCTAAAAATTCAGGTTAAAAACCGCTCAGAATTGAGAGAATATGATGGAATTAATGAGAAGAGACTCAAAATAAGGTGAAAATATTTACACTAGAGTTACAAGAAAAAAGAAGCAATGAGAGAAAAAATTATTTTTTTAAATAACATAAAAATAGTTTAAACTGTGAAAATAAAATAAAAATCTTTAAAAAATATGAAGAAATAATTGAAATGATAAAAAGATTTGGTTCCAGTAAATGATTTTTGCTACCACAGTAAATTTGAAAGCAGATTTTGTATTTTTTCATAAATTCTGAGGTATTGTAACAATACATACAGTACATCGATGTACACTAGACTCTTCTCATTTATTGGTCCTGTTATCAGTGATATACAAGTGACCTTCACATAGCCGAGGTATTAGTTGTAACTACCCGGTACATTGTCATGACTTGGGAAGTTGTAAATTCAAATTGGGAAGTTCGGCAGACCTTGGGTCCAAGTATCGACCTCTAACAGCTACGGATAAGTTCACCTACATGTTAAACTTTCAAATGTTTGTTCATTTGTGACTACTCTCAAGGTCTTTTATGGTTGCTTTGTTATTAAAGTGTTCAGTCTTCCATGCATAAAGCCTGGGTTTGATTTCTCACATGGTGTTAATGTGTGGAACAGATTACTGATGTCAGCTGTCATGGTATTGGTGGAATATTGCTAATTGTGGATCAGCGCCTATCTTTGCAGACAGGGTCATTAGTCTTGAACAGAGATAATTAGGCTAGAAGAGAGGTCACTAGTCTTATCCATAGATCACTAGTATTGTCCGGAGATCCCTAGTATTGTCCAGAGATCACTAGTCCTGTCCAGAGGTCACTAGTCCTGTCCAGAGATCACTAGTCTTGTCCAGAGATCACTAGTCTTGTCCAGAGATCGCTAGTATTGTCCAGAGACCACTAGTCTTGTCCAGAGATCACTAGTTCTGTCCAGAGATCACTAGTCTTGTATCACTAGTCTTGTCCAGAGATCACTAATCTTGTCCAGAGATCACTAGTCTTGTCCAGAGATCACTAGTCTTGTCCAGTCTTGTCCAGAGATCACTAGTCCTGTCCAGGGATAACTAGTCCTGTCCAGAGATCACTAGTCTTGTCCAGAGATCACTAGTCCTGTCCAGAGATCACTAGTCCTGTGTCCAGAGGTCACTAGTCTTGTCCAGAGGTCACTAGTCTTGTCCAGAGATCACTAGTCTTGTCCAGAGATCACTAGTCCTGTCCAGAGATCACTTGTCTTGAGATCACTAGTCTTGTCCAGAGATCACTAGTCTCATCCAGAGATCACTAGTCCTGTCCAGAGATCACTAGTCCTGTCCAGAGATCACTAGTCTTGAGATCACTAGTCTTGTCCAGAGATCACTAGTCTTGTCCAGAGATCACTAGTCTTGTCCAGAGATCACTAGTCCTGTCCAGAGATCACTAGTCTTGTCCAGAGATCACTAGTCTCATCCAGAGATCACTAGTCTCGTCCAGAGATCACTAGTCCTGTCCAGAGATCACTAGTCCTGTCCAGAGACCACTAGTCTCATCCAGAGATCACCATGTAGATGAGAGATCATCAATGGTGATCAGAAATCATGCGTTTTAACCGAAGACAAGTGAAGAAATTCAGATGTATTAAAAAGTGGTTCAACACAGGACCAGTCCTAGTTTTATTAATGTAAGTGATCTGATCATGCTAAGCCTTGATTCAGTATGTCTTGATCAGAAAGCTTGCAAAATTTGACACTCCTACACTAAAACAACTGAGAAGTTTTGGATCAGTGCTTGAAGTAAAAAACATATGCACTGTCTCCATAAGATCTGTATGACTAGATGCTGCAGGCTCTGAATCACCTTGTCACTCCCTGACTTAAAAATACAGGTACACTTCCATCAGGACTTATCAACCCATACATCTTTTGAAACCTGGGAAAAGTCGCGGGTTCGATCCCCGGGTCATACCAAAAGACGTTAAAATATGGTACTTGTTGGTCCCTGCCTGGCGTTCAGAAATAATGGGTACAACAAGTACTGGTCGGGTCGGAGGCAGTATGATGTGTCTGAGTGGGGTATTCATGCTTCACTGCAGCATGGTATCTCAGTGAGCTAGCACTATAAAACGAGCTTAAGTCTGGGCTAGTACAAGCAGCCACACATACACACGCATGCACGTCGTTAAATGAGTGAAATATTCTTAAGTACGGGCCTCACACAAGATGGACATGCCACGCACTTATTACAAACATTGATCGGGATGTAACAATGATTATTGTAATTAGTAACATGTTTAACCAACCCAAGTTACAAACCAACTCTGTACCATGGCGTTTATTGGGTTACAGGTCTTTCCTCGGCAGTCTATTCCTGAGGAATTGAGCCTTCTCAGAATGTGAACAAAGACAAGGCTATATAGAAGGCAACTATCAATAATGACACCATGTGACTGCATGTACTTGAACATATTAAAAAATGTGCACAAGCTCGTGACAATGAAAATGATAAAGGATGATTGTGTGTGTATTTTACAGTATTGATATTTTTATGACATGTGGCCTTTACAGAGAAGGGTATTCAGGTAGCCTATGTATTTGGGAGTGATTTATTTTTGAATAGATTTATTTTGTTGGTGGAAGGCTAATCATTGTTATTATTGGTGTATATAGGGTATCACGCGAGTGTGTTTTAGGATGGTTGGCAAGATTACAGAATACCGGATACCTATCCGCAATTTTGATTTTGATTGAGCATTTATTTTTTTGCACTTCCATTTTGTTTCCTTAGCAACGGCACGCCATGAACGAAGGCTGTGTTGAAGCAGCGTTCAATATTAAATATTAAATATTAAACAATATTAAAGCTAAAAAAAGGTAAGATAATGGGGGTAAAGGGGGTACCCCCCTTTATTTAAAAGCCTTACCTACCTTACCTTACCAATCAAAAAACACTTACCATCAGAGTGTTCCCACACTGTAGAGTTCCTTTTCCCAGCATGCATTTGAATAAAATTTCAACACATGATTACTTTTTACTCTGTTTACGTCAGTGAACGCTGTTAAAATCCCCAGTTTAGGTTTCCTAAACCGGAAGTAAGATGAGGAATTCGATTTTAACCTTATTTTTAACCTTAAATTCGTATTTTTATTGGATCGCTCGCAGGCTCGCGCTCTCTGTTTCTTCTATATATAGGAGCCTCACGCGCACAATAGAATGTATATAATAAGGTATCCGGTATTCTGTAAGTGTACCGGATGGTTAACCCATTCAAGTCCCCAGACACCGGAGGCCGATTAATCAGCCAGGCAGTAGTCACGTCAAAATCAGACATAATTTTAGGAACTTACCTGACTTATGATTCATATATTAAATCCATCACATTTCACAATGTTTGAAAACACTCATTAAATTTCAATTGATCATATATTATCGGCAGAATTAAAATTATAAACTATTTTTCGCAATGTTATTGAAAGCAACGATTCTCGGACACATGCTTAGGCAGCGGGTCCACAATAACATTGTCAAAGAGCAAAGTAACGATGTTTCGAGGAAATAATTAAATAAATTGAATAAACTAATGAATAAAATCAACAACAGTATTCATAAAAGTTGTCAAACGTACTTATAAAATTAATATTTCCATCTTTTTGTGCGATCATGTAATGCAAGTCAAGTCACTGACAAGCGACATCTCGGCTCTCGCCGCCTCAATCTTCACGCTCGGACACGATGTTTAATGCGAAAATGTATGCATGAAGCATTTTTGTCATTGCCGTAATATGATTGGCTGCCTTAGGTCACGTGTCTGGTTTTGACCAATCACGACCCTTATAGCAGACTGTGGCAAAAAAGCGTCATTAGAAACCAATCTTTATCCAATAAAATCGCTTCTTACAAGTGTGAAAATACTCTGATACAGTATTATTGTTGATGTTCAGAGCTTTCGAACGATGCCCGACATCAAACGATTCTCCTCGCATGTTATTCATACGAAGCTTCGAAAACGGAGGTATTTTCCGTTGTTGTGTCATGTTACCGAGCGAAAAGCCACTGATATCGGGAAATAGGCGAACATACATATTATTTCAGAAATCTTTTTATAATAATTTTCTGATTACGTAAAAATGAAAATATGAAAGAAAAAGGCATGGGCATGTTATGACATGTCACAAATAGAAAAAAATCGCCACAGTTTTTGCTTCTTTCGTGGTTTATCTGGACATTATAAATCTAAACTTGCATTTTCATTAAAAAATAAATTTATTTAAGTTGTAGTTGTATTATTTGAATTGTATTATAAAAATAAACTTCATATTTATCAACAGTGGGATTAGATCTTTTAAATGGTGTATGACATGTAGTAGTAATAACGTTTTACAAGCTTATAATTTCCTTCATAAACATAGGCTTCATTTATGACCTTAGAGTCTCTGGGAACTCGGTGTCATGGCAGTAAATGCCTCTGGTTGACTGGTGTTGAAAGAGTTAATATCCTGCATTAGAAATATACATTGGGTGTTTATTTGTAATGCAATATTGCAGATATCTATGACGTCACAAATATGTCACAAGCTCGGTGACACAGTTTTCTACTGATCACTCAATTAACTGCATTAGGTCATCTAGTTCCCAGTAAGTTTTTATGTTAAAGCACATATTTTGTCAACAAATCTTAGCTTACGTTTGAAAAATGACAAAAAACATCCCAACAAACTCATGTGGAACTTCAGAAACCTTCAATTAACCTTTTGAACAACAAATACACAGCTAACACTGACACTCGGTCGGGGAACTGGTGTTTGTATCTTTGTAAACCTATGAATTTCTATCGTCACTTTGCAATCCACCCCATCTATCATTACCAGACATGAATTTTCTTGGATCAAAGCACTGACAGTACTGTAAACCAAGACCGTCAATACAGACACGATGGACGACAGATTGGCCTGTTGCCATATTTGTTTATACTGTAAAAGTAGTCCCTAAAATTTGCGTATGACATCTCTAATTTGCATTGATATCCGTATATGACCCCAACAGATATCCATTGTATGATAAAATGTATACCTGTTCAGAATAGGTCCTCAGAAACCTTGTTTGAGGTGACTAACGTATGTTGTCAAGCCTGGTCACTTAGTTGATTGTGTGACAGTGTTCCCTGACAGAAGGAAAGGTTGCTCAGTATAGCAATCACTGGATTGTCTGGTTCAGACTTAGTTATTTACAGGCCACCATCACACAGTTGGGATTAGGGTTGGATATTGCCAAAATTTTCATATTGCCATATATTGTGATATGTGTTGGCGTATTGCAATATGTATTGCTATATATTGTGATATGTGTTGGCGTATTGCAATATGTATTGCTATATATTGTGATATGTGTTGGCGTATTGCAATATGTATTGCTATATATTGTGATATGTGTTGGCGTATTGCAATATGTATTGCTATATATTGTGATATGTGTTGGCGTATTGCAATATGTATTGCTATATATTGTGATATGTGTTGGCGTATTGCAATATGTATTGCTATATATTGTGATATGTGTTGGCGTATTGCAATATGTATTGCTATATATTGTGATATGTGTTGGCGTATTGCAATATGTATTGCTATATATTGTGATATGTGTTGGCGTATTGCAATATGTATTGCCATATATTGTGATATGTGTTGGCGTATTGCAATATGTATTGCTATATATTGTGATATGTGTTGGCGTATTGCAATATGTATTGCTATATATTGTGATATGTGTTGGCGTATTGCAATATGTATTGCTATATATTGTGATATGTGTTGGCGTATTGCAATATGTATTGCTATATATTGTGATATGTGTTGGCGTATTGCAATATGTATTGCCATATATTGTGATATGTGTTGGCGTATTGCAATATGTATTGCTATATATTGTGATATGTGTTGGCGTATTGCAATATGTATTGCTATATATTGTGATATGTGTTGGCGTATTGCAATATGTATTGCCATATATTGTGATATGTGTTGGCGTATTGCAGTATGTATTGCTATATATTGTGAAAGTGTAATGCATGGTTTAAGTTAATGAAATTACTGTTTTCTTTCTTTTGAAACAATGCCACTGGCCATTGTCAGGACTCTGATGTGATTGTACAAGAGATCAATTGAAAATGTTTCCAAATTGAAGACTTCGCTCTAAATTTTGGAACTTGAGAAAAAAGCGTCTGTACCGCCGTCCGCCATTTAGGTTTATTTTACCCTACAATGAGTGCCGGTACCAATCTATTTTTTATGGTTTAAAAGTCACTCAAATAAAGGAAGTACAAATATTTTTAGTATTTTTGACTACATCACGAAAATAGGAGAAAACAGACCCCAGCGAAAATGGACCCCCAAACAATCGGGAAAATGGCCACCGCGCTGGAGAGAACGGCCTCCGGACCAAGAGAAAACGGCCTCTGTGCCTAGAGACAACGGCCATTATGGTATTGATTTAGAGAGGAATAACAGCAAAATAAATTACATGTAGTTTTCTGTTATATATAATGGCCGTTATCTCTACGCATAGAGGCCGTTTTCTCTAGCAGCGGTGGCCGTTTTCTCGTGAGCGGTGGCCGTTTTCTCGAAATATATTTTGGCCATTTTCGCTGGTGTCCGTTTTCACTATAACCCACGAAAATGACCGATCATGGTCACGGCAATTGCCGATCGTATTGGGTAAACCGGTTCTTGTAAAGTGTACCGCAATATATCGGTTAACCGATATTATCGCCCACCATCATTAATGCACAACAGAACAAACATACATAATTATTTGATAACTTTTTTCAGTGATGGCTGTTTGCTTCCTCAACTATCAACTGTGATGTTGCAAAGCAGTATACCATGGTTTGTCACTGACATTATCAACCACTCTTGCTCTGTAATGCAGACCTCTGTCCCCAATTCATGGGGTCACAAAAATTCAGAAGTTTTTTTTTGTTATTTCACAAAAGTATTGTTGCACTACCAATAAAAATTATGCAAAGCTCTCCTGAAACGAGAAAATGTTTGTTGAGTTTCAGCAAAGATCAAGAGCAGTGTTGTAAATTCTATGAAAATTACACCTGATTTCTGCATATCTTTGATGTTATTGAATAATTCTGCAGCTTAGAGCATTGGTTCATGCTACTGGCCATTTGGTGTATCCCTCCAGACGTGTTAGAGAAGCCTTGTTAAACACATATCTCTACAAAGACATAAAAAAGTAATATATGTAAACTATACTTAAAATAATATATTTTGTAGTATTATTGTACCTACTGTTGCCACTATTTAGATGCAGGTGTACGAGTCAAACATAAATATACATGTTCAGTATACACCATGTTAACAGAAAAGCTGCATGAATAATTCAGCAGTCATCTCTGTTCACTTATGGAAATCACATTTACATCATATTAACATAAACCCACGATTTCAGAAACAGTTTTTCAGTCACTATTTTACAGTCACTATTACGTGTCGTTATTTGACAATCAAAGACCTTTATTTTGGTTCTATTTATACTCCTGATTCAACACTGTTAGAGGTAGCCACTAACAACATGGCTGCTGTCAAATGAAGCATGAGTGTTTGAGTGAGTCAAGTATTACGCTGCTTTTAGTTTTAGCAATATTCCAGCAATATCACGGCAGGGGACACCTGAAATGGGTTTCACACATTGTACCCATGTGAGGAATCGAACCCCAGGGTTTTCAGCGCGACAAGCGGACACTTTAGCCATTAGGCTACCCAACCGCCCCCCAAAATTGAAGCATGACTTAAAAGCGAGAAGTGTTAGGACAGAGTCTAGAGCAGTATGCCTTTGTGATTTCCCTTGGTACACTGGTAAATTGGTTGGCATCAATTTCACTCACCTTTTTCTCTGTCCACTCATTGGCCTCTGACTTTCTGTTTGCAGGTACTGGACGCAAGAGATCTGACCATCTCTCAGGTTTCTGATAAGGATTCTGGACAAGAACTGACCTTTTCTCTCGGTGAACCCATTTCAACCTTCGGATCAAAGTTGGAGATCAAACTTCCAAATGGAAATGGGAAAAAGTAATTATTTATCCGTGGTATATATCTGTGTGACCAACTAAACTTCAGATCAGCTTTAAACCCATCTCGGTAACATTCTGTGAACACCAATGAGCTATAAGTCTGTTGACATTTTCACATGTTTAAATGTCAAGGATTGATCAAGGGGAGATAATGTACTTTACTGCAAGATGAATTGTCTCCCCTTGACCACATGACATTTCCTCAGTTTGCGTGCTATATCTTATCCATATATATAAGGTCTAGGACTTGTTAACATTGTGTTTATCTCATCATAACTGCTAATAACACTATGCAATGTTTATCCAGTTTGGAATAATTATTTATAAATCTATTTCTTACATTTTCATAACAGCACAAATTTTGTAACTCAACATGCCAAAACACACAACGGCGGTGAAGTGTGTGCACGTAGCAGCAATTTTTAGAGGAATTTCTTTGATTTCAGATACACCCTGTCAATCAAGTATGCCACCTCCCCGAAATGTTCTGCCTTACAGTGGCTCCGCCCAGAACAGACTGCAGGGAAGAGACAGCCGTATCTGTTCAGCCAGTGCGAGGTACAGATCGTGACACTAGTATATGGTTGACGTAATCTTTATTTCTGTTATCTGATAGGTTTTCTAATGTTGATTTCATATGTTGAGTAGAATTGGACATGTTTCTTATGATTGGGATTGTGTTTGATTTTGTAAAATGCCGGTATTACAGTTGTTACACAGTGTTACCCCAACAGCACAAGATGTATGTTTAAGTAATTTGTCAAGTTCATAAAATGGTTCTCCCCACTGAGTTTCAGACTTGAAGAAGTCATAGACCTAGTAAATTACATTGCGTGAGATGTAGTGTTGGGAATTGGTTAAAACCTCATAATTGATGATTGCTCCATTACAACTGATCAATCATTGAAAACAATTGGTTAGCGTCATTTATGAAATTTTCCTGTTTTTTCGGGGGTTTATGCATGTAGTTCTTTGGGTTTTTGGGGCAAATTTCACATCTTGAAAGAATTACTAGTTAACTAGTATGTTAGGAACATACAATTCCTTGAGTCTTTAAGATAAATTCAATCATGACTTGGAACAAGCTTGTAGTGGTTATGAAATGTAACTTACAAAACCAACCTTGTGAAAAATATTGTTAATGCAAAAAGCATTCCAGAATTGTTTGTGTTCGATAATGAGAAAACATGATCGATTGCTTGGTCGTTTAGTCACTTTGACTAATCTTCGATTATTTCAATTAATCGAACCACCACTAGTGAGATGAATCAATTGCACACTCAGTAGGATAAACAGTCAAGTCACAAATTTGCACATGATTCTTGCTTACCGGGGTGTTACCTGAGCTGTCGCTACACCCCTGTCACAAATTGTGATACAGCTAATGAAAACAATGATGGTTTGTTACACAACCTTTTTATTTTATAGAAAAAATTATGACAAGAGTTGGTGTGTTTTTCCTATTTACTTGGCCGTTGGTTTGAGTCATTTACGATTATGTGTTTTTCAGTTAGAGTTCAATTCATTGGGGAGATTTTGACTCAAACGGTCTGTAGACTAGCTAACGGTTAGCATTACAGGCCAATCACAAGCTATACTAGCCAATCACTAACAGGACTAGCCAGTTCTTAGCAGAACCAGCCAATCTTTAACAGGATGGAATCACTAGTTGGACCAGACAAGTTGGACTAGCCAGTCATTAGCAGCACTAGTCAATCATTAACAGGATGGAATCACTAGTTGGACCAGACAAGTTGGACTAGCCAGTCATTAGCAGCACTAGTCAATCATTAACAGGATGGAATCACTAGTTGGACCAGACAAGTTGGACTAGCCAGTCATTAGCAGAACCAGCCAATCATTAACAGGATGGAATCACTAGTTGGACCAGACAAGTTGGACTAGCCAGTCATTAGCAGAACCAGCCAATCATTAACAGGATGGAATCACTAGTTGGACCAGACAAGTTGGACTAGCCAGTCATTAGCAGCACTAGTCTATCATTAACAGGATGGAATCACTAGTTGGACCAGACAAGTTGGACTAGCCAGTCATTAGCAGCACTAGTCAATCATTAACAGGATGGAATCACTAGTTGGACCAGACAAGTTGGACTAGCCAGTCATTAGCAGCACTAGTCAATCATTAACAGGATGGAATCACTAGTTGGACCAGACAAGTTGGACTAGCCAGTCATTAGCAGAACCAGCAAATCATTAACAGGATGGAATCACTAGTTGGACCAGACAAGTTGGACTAGCCAGTCATTAGCAGAACTAGCCAATCATTAACAGGATGGAATCACTAGTTGGACCAGACAAGCTGGACTAGCCAGTCATTAGCAGCACTAGTCAATCATTAACAGGACAAGCCAATTACAAAACAAAGTTGCTGCTTTTTAAAAGAAATATGTATATACATGTATGTTGATTCCAGTTTTGTATGTATTTGAACTGATTTAATGTTTCGTTTTACGTTTTTGTGAAGTTTTTTTTCTGCTAATTTGGACTTTTTATTGCCCTGTTTTAAAACATCAACACTGCTACATGCTGCTGTAGTACTAGTGCGGTGGTAGATAGGTACCAAGTACCTGGTAACACATGTTATTTATTTCAGGCAATACATGCTAGGAGCCTGTTCCCGTGTCAGGACTCGCCTGCCGTCAAGTTTCCTTACTCCGCCAAGGTAAATTATGTCTTCCAATCTGTTGATCAGCTGTTTTATCTGTATTTATCTGTCAGGTTTTCAATTGATGCTCCTTTGACACTGAACTGTTATATCTTCTATCCTTTGATACACTTGTATAAGTACCTTGTAGAATCTATTCTATCGCCCCATGTAGACTGTTATACCGGTACCTTCAATACATTGGTTTTTTTTGTGTACCTGTTTGAGTACCTTGTAAACTTATGCATCACTGTAAGGGACTGTTATATCTTCCACGCCTGAACTGTCCACTTTAAAGCACTTGTATATGTTCCTTGTAAAATTACATAACACTGTATATGGACCGTTATATCTTCCAGGCCTTGATGTACTTGTATAGTACCCTGTTACATCACCGTACATAGATCGTTATATGTTCCATGCTTTGATACAGTTGTATAAGTGCTTTGTAAAATCAGATGTATCTCCGTATATGGACTGTTATACTTCCCATGTATCAATGTACTTGTATAAGTGCCTGGATAAGTTGTTGACTTGGTATATCCTCCATGCCCTAAATCTCCGCCTTGCGTATGATTTATCAGTGGATACATATGGACCATGTTGTACACAGGGCTGATGGCCCACACCACTGTTCCGATTAAAGAGAATGAGACACTGAACCATGGGTACTTGAAACAATCAGGAGCTGATGTTAGAAACATTTGGTTTCTTCGTGGCACTGACTATTAACCGTTTTAGCTGAATATTGTTAAATCTTAAAATCTCAAGTTTTGTATAGACAGTCCAAGGTTAAAACTTTCACCTGGTTTGGATTTAACCCTTGATCAGTAGATACTGCAGTTACCAAGGGAAGCAACTAGTTCCTCCCTTAGTGCTGCATGTGTGGTAATTATAGTTTGGGTTAGATCACTGAGATATTTCTTCATTCAGTGCATTAAGGCATACATTTTTGGGGCTGCCAAAAGCATTCTTTTTTGTCATAGCCCATAAGGCATTATATTTCAATACCTCTGTTGTGTTATATGGTTTGCAGAACAATTGTAAGATATTGAGACTGATTATTTTTTTCAGTTAATGTCAGGAATGAACTATTTTTCTGACACAAAAATCCGAGAATAATAAATGCCAGCTGAAAATGTCATCACACACATTGTCTATAGTATTAGTGTGTGGTGTTGGCAGGTGACTGCCCGGCGAGAGGTCACGGTGCTGATGAGTGCAGTGAGGCTGGGGTCGGACCCCTGTGTCGGTGACAGCGCCAGTCTGGAGACCAAGTTTCTGCAGGAGATCCCCATCCCCAGCTACCTGATGGCCATAGTGGCTGGCGACATCGAGAGCAGGTGGGTCACATACAACATAATGTATAATAACATTGCAGTCATATTTATCTGTAATTCCCTTCCCTTAGCATGTTATCTCTGTGAACACATGCTGGAGTGCTATGCATCCGCGATACTTCCAGGGCTTGTTTTACAGTAAACCAACACTAACCCCTGGAACAATTCCTGGGTTGGAATCTTGAAAGATCTGCCCTTGCTTTTATTTTCCAATTTTATTGGCGGCACTACTTTGTCCATCTTCGATAATCTCCAGGGTACATGTTCAGATAAATCTCCACTAATGCCCTGGATGCATCTACAGCTCGGTCCGATAATTGTATTACCTTCCTTTGCTGGATCTGCCTTCTCAAAGTAGCCAATCAGATAAGTGGTTACAATCGAGCTTGCCAGTGTCAATGCAGATGCTGGCCGCAGCAGCGAATGTTTGCTAGCTGTGCGACTCAGACTTAGGGAAAAAATCATACAGACAAATTGACAAGTCTGAAACCTTAAAAAAATAAATGCAAAAACTCCTACTTCTTTCAGGCTACCTTTGCAACAATTGCCGAGTTTAGGAGGTTAGATTAAAGAAGTGGAAGTGAGTTATGATCAAAGCATTGTGATTAGTACTTCCCAGCATGGACACCTGATTGGGTAAAAAGCCAGCTAAAGGAGGTAATACATCCAAGGTACTAGTGGAGATTTATCGGAACATATACCCTGGAGATTATCAAGGATGTACTTTGTCAAACATTCCAAGGAGAATGCATTTTACATACCATCCTCAATATAGGATTTGCTGTCGACAAGATGGCGACCAGTCTTATATTATGTTCAAATTTGCAAGAAAACATTATTGTCGTGCAAAAGAAAGCCTTTAAATTTGGATGGAAAGAATTTGTTCATGTTCAATGAAACTATTGTTGGCTTTGATTTCTAGGAATACAAGTTATCTCCCTTACCTTCTCTCGTATGATAACTTGTAGTTGATCAGTAATATGTTGATGAAATAGATGGGTGGGTAATTTGTGATCACAAGAGTGACGGGAATGAATCCAGGTTGGCAATGTAGGATTACAGAAATACAAGCTCAGTGATCTAGATGATGGAATGATATGATGTCAGGATAGGCCTACATCAGTTCACTATTTGTTACGGGGGAGGGGTGCAAAGAGAGGAACAGCCAGGTGTGCGAGAAAGGATGGAGACGGCACAGGTAAATGATTCAATGACTTTGTCTACACTTGTGCACATGCTCCGCGTACACCTGGCTGTTCCTCTCTTTGCAGTCCTCCCTCTTTGTCAAAATTTTAATGATAGTTTGTTAAACAACTTTTTTATTTTTAGGACATAAATTCTGCAAAAAAATCACAGAGTTGGTCTGATGTTTTGATTATGATCAGTGTTTCATTGAGTATTGTATGTTTATTAGTTTTCAAGTTAGATTGCAATTCATCAGTCCGCTTTTGAGCCAAACGGACTATAACAAAACAACAGAGTGTTGTTCCCTGATATAACACTCATTATACAATACATCAACTTACAACTCCTCTATCACAGTACATTACATTACCATCTTTATTGATGAAAAATTCTCTTAAAAAACCAGTTAAAGCAGATTTTCTTGTATTTCCTGGTTGGCTAGAAATAACACAATCTGCTTAGTGCCTCAAAGCTTATTTGTTTCTCCCCTACAATTTCCCATCTTTGCTATCTGAAATTTAAAAATGAAAAAGTTTAGTGTTGTGATTCCACTGCAAAAAGGGAAAGAATATGAACATAGGTAAGTAGGTACTGTATTAGGATATGAATCGTCTTACACCCATTTCATCATGATATGTATCACAGCCTAGCTGTATTGTTACTGCTCCAGTCATGATGGTCGTGTTAGTCTACATATCCAGCGTGTTTATAGTCCGTTTGGCTCAAAAGCGGACCGATGAATTGCAATCTAACTCAAAAACTTATAAACATAAAATACTCAATGAAACACTGATCATAATGAAAAGGTCAGACCAACTCTGAGAGGTGTTTGCAGAATTTATGTCCTAAAAATAAAAAAAGTTGTTTAACAAACTATCATTAAAATATCAACACAGTTCACTTTTTGTTACGAGGGAGGAGTGCAGAGAAAGGGACAGCCGGGTGTGCGAGAAAGGATGGAGACGGCACAGCACAGGTTAATGAATCAATAACTTTGTTGGCACTTGTGCATGTGCTTCTCGAACACCTGGCTGTCCCTTTCTCTGCACTCCTCCCTCGTAACAAATAATGAACTGTGTCAATATTTTAATGATAGTTTGTTAAACAACTTTTTTAATTTTAGGACATAAATGCTGCAAACAAATCACAGAGTTGGTGTGATATTTTGATTCTGATCAGCGTTTCATTGAGTATTATATGTTTATTAGTTTTGGAGTAAGATTGCAAGTCATCGGTCCGCTTTGAGCCAAACGCACTATAGGTATCAGGTTTCTACAGAGAAATCACTGTAACTAAAGTTAGCCTGTTTTGATTGAGATGTTTGTTACAGAGACATTGGTCCGCGGTCAAAGGTGTGGTCCGAGAAGGAGTTTGTGGAGGCTGCTGCGTATGAATTTGCAGAGGTGAGTTGCAGGAATGTGCTGGTCTAGTTCTTGTATGTAAGTCGTCAGGGTTTGCTTCAGAACCATTTTGGGGTGGGGGTTGCCTATTGGTTAAAGCGTTGGCTCGTCACGCTGAAGACCCGTGTTCGAATCCCCACATGGGTACATTGTGTGAAGCCCATTTCTGGTGTCCCCCGCTGTGATGTTGCTGGAATATTGCTAAAAGCAGCGTAAAACCAAACTCACTCACTCACTCATAGCATTTACTACACTGTTATATAGTATTGTCATGAGACACAGTGGCGGCAGTTAGTTCCAAACCTCAGATTTCTGCCAGTTTATTAGAATCCTGTTGCTTAGTTCTATGTACTTCTGTATATAATCTCATTAAACTATGTTTATAACGAACAAGCTTATAGTGGAGTGACTGATATAACAAACTGTTTTGGGGGTTTTAGTATATCTTTCAGCTGAAATTTGTAGGATGGACTATGGATATAATGAAATCAAGTTAGTGGTCCTCAGACTTTGTTACATCTGTAATTTACCATATTCCAAAAGACCATAAGATTCTGTATCTGGCCTTGTGACATAACCTGATAAACTGTAGCTATGAGTTCACTGTAACAAGTTACTTTAGTTTTCACCATTACATGTCTGTGATACAGCGTGACAGCTTTCACAGCTGTTAGTGGTTGAGTTCCTTGACTGTCCTTGCAGCTAAGCAGTACGGTTTGGACCAGAGCACTATTTTACAAACACGTTATACTACGATTGTTTCATGAGAAGGGGTAGTCTGTCTGTCTGTTGTAGTGTACAGGTGTCAGGAGACTGTTCCTTGTTTCAGACGGAAGACATGCTGAAGGCTGCGGAGGCCCTGGTGGGGCCGTATGTGTGGAAGCAGTATGACTTGCTGGTGCTGCCCCCATCTTTCCCCTTCGGAGGGATGGAGAACCCATGTCTGACATTTGTCACCCCCACACTGCTGGTGAGAATCTGGTCACTATGGTTACTGTGCATGCACTCATACAGACTGATACGTTTGGCACATTTTAGAAATAATTTACATTTGTCATATGTGAAGAAAATAATGACAAACTGCTTTTGTTTGATTACAAAAATAAATGTAAAATACATTGGCCTTGATTTCATAATTATTTCTTTTTAGTATGATGTATTTTTGTTGTGATATTTATTTATTTCTGATTGTGATGGTTGACACTGGTCTGTTGATTCAAACCAAATACGTTTCCAAATTGGACAAAAAATATGTTTTTGCTTGATGAAGATGTTCCTGATGCTTGGATTGGTAAGGTGAATACAGTCATCTTTAACTTGTGTGTTGCACAGGCCGGAGACAGATCGCTAGCCAACGTGGTGGCCCATGAGATCGCCCACAGCTGGACCGGGAACCTCGTCACCAACTGTACCTTTGAACACTTCTGGTAGGAGCTAATTTCATTGTATTGTGATGGTTATGTGAAAATATTACCGCATAGTCTATAAGGGTTATTTATCATAATTATTTAGCCAATTAGACTATGTAAAATGTGTTATATTTAGAATTACACTCTCTCAGAAATGATCTAATTCAGGTATGAAATATACACTTAGTTTGGGTTCAAAACACTGCTCCATCTTACTTGTCATCTGTTCTTAACAACCATAGACCAACAAGAACTCTTAGATCACAAGATAAAGATCTGCTTATCACCGGGGACCGCTGCTTTGAATGTGCAGCTCCCATGCTATGGAACAACCTCCCTGTCGCTAAAAAAATCCGCTCCAAGTCAACAAACTATTCAAAAACATCTAAAGACACATCTATTTAAAATGAAATAGACTGAACTGCACAAGCGCCTGTGAGCAGCCTAGCTGGAACTTGGCGCTATAGAAGTAGATTATTATTATCATTATTATTAATCATTAGAGATGGACAAATAGTATGTGTAGAAACTTTTGATGTCTTGATGTTGAAAGTGGTCACTTGTTAATTATGTTATTTGGGATTACACTTCTCAGTAAAGAACAAATTCTAGTACTATTGGTGGGCATTGAAGCAACACTTTTAGAGTGATTGATCTAATCAATATAACAGTTTATTTTATACTAGAATTTGTACTTTTTAGAGGAAATTTTTTATGATGACTTTCATACAGAGGAAAATCTTGATGAGTATGTTAAAGATAGCAAGGTCTGGCTCTGACCGATTAAAGCACCGACTATAATAACCATTCCTTACACTACTAAAGTATGTGGTATTTACAATCAGCTGACTTGTTCATGTCGGTGGAAGAATAAAACTGACAGCAGATTATAGGTTTGGGAAGAACTGTTGAGTGCCAGGTAAATACTATTCGACTGTAGCATATTTGATCTGTGAATGTTAGTTGAAGATTGTCCATGATTAATTATAATGAAGAAACCAATGATTAACTTTTGATGAACTTTAGATAAATGCAAAAAAAGCCTACTATTCACTTTTGTGTAATAAGCAGTCGTTGACAATTCAACTTTCAACTCTATTGTGAATTGACAATTCAACTTTCAACTCTATTATCTATTATCTAGCATGAATTATCATCATTATGTAATTAACACCTTACTTCACATATACTGTACTCACTCTTGTGTACTGTGATGTCACTTGTATTGTGACGTCATAACTCAGTTATGACGTCATAGTGACGACGTCATAGTCCCAACTGTCAGTTCACCTGATGAAGGGACCTGGAATGGTCTCGAAACGTCGTGAGGGAAATTATAAAGAAGTTTAATCCATAAAAATATCTTGGACATCAATGTACAACTTCTAAATGCCACTGAAAGACAAGAAACCAGTAGTCTGAATAAATAACAGAGGCCTTCCAATAGTTTTCAATTATAGTTCACACATCAATAGTTATCAACTATAGCCTATAATAGTTTGTTTGTCCTGCAATAGGTTGTCATGTTCATATCATCGGTTATGATTGTTAGGAGTCCTACACAGAACAGCATCTTTCAGAGAAGAGACACTATAATGTATACATGCTATGTGAGAATGTAATGTTACATGTATGTTATCACATTGAAACAAGCTCTCATTACTTGTTTAGACTCTTAAACAATTAAAACAAAACAACCCTCCTGTATCAGTGCTTGTGAATATTGGCTTGACATTTGAATGAGACTTTGTGTTAAGTTGGATATGGCCATCAATGTCAGGATTATTTTGCACATGGGGCTCGTTCATTGCTTCACAGCCTCGAAAGAGCCCCATATGCAAAAGTAGTTGCAAATTTTCAGGCCATATCCTAACCTAAGATACTTTATTTCTGGGACAAGTACTTATAGATGAGATGTGTACTGTTTTAGTGACAACAGTTGTGATTGCACCAGTGATATCAATTAGAAATTACAAATGACAATTTTTCATACCTGATATGTATTTTTCAGACATTGTATTTTGTGTATTCCAGGTTAAATGAAGGCTTCACTAAGTATTTTGAAAGGTTGATTGTTTGCAAATTAAATCAAACCCCAGGATATAGGAACTTCCTGGCAAATGAAGGATTGGTGGTTTTACGAAATGCTGTAAGTCGCTGAATCAGAGAATCATATTTAATCTTCAGTGTTACCTCTGGGATCTCAACTTCTGAATACTTCATGGATTTGTATACATCTCGTTCCTCCATGATCCTTGAGTATGCTTTGCAGTGACACAGGTCATGTGTATTGTTAGAGAAATATAGCGATGTGTAACCCATGCATGAACAGCTCGTTCCTCCATTAGGGGGCCAGTAAGTGAAACATGGCTGCATGTAACCCATGGATGTTGGGTGAGCTCTTCTCCATGCATGAACAGCTCGTTCCTCCATTAGGGGGCCAGCAAGTGAAACATGGCTGAATGTAACCCATGGATGTTGGGTGAGCTCTTCTCCATGTAAGTGAACAGCTCGAATTCCTCCATTATGGGGCCAGCATTAGCAAGTGAAACATGGCTGAATGTAAACCATGGATGTTGGGTGAGCTCTTCTCCATGTATGAACAGCTCGTTCCTCCATTAGGGGGCCAGCAAGTGAAACATGGCTGAATGTAACACATGGATGTTGGGTGAGCTCTTCTCCATGTATGAACAGCTCGTTCCTCCATTAGGGGGCCAGCAAGTGAAACATGGCTGAATGTAACCCATGGATGTTGGGTGAGCTCTTCTCCATGTACGAACAGCTCATTCCTCCATTAGGGGGCCAGCAAGTGAAACATGGCTGAATGTAAACCATGGATTTTGGGTGAGCTCTTCTCCATGTATGAACAGCTCGTTCCTCCATTAGGGGGCCAGCAAGTGAAACATGGCTGAATGTAACACATGGATGTTGGGTGAGCTCTTCTCCATGTATGAACAGCTCGTTCCTCCATTAGGGGGCCAGCAAGTGAAACATAGCTGAATGTAACCCATGGATGTTGGGTGAGCTCTTCTCCATGCATGAACAGCTCGTTCCTCCATTAGGGGGCCAGCAAGTGAAACATGGCTGAATGTAACCCATGGATGTTGGGTGAGCTCTTCTCCATGTATGAACAGCTCGTTCCTCCATTATTATGGGGCCAGCAAGTGAAACATGGCTGAATGTAACCCATGGATGTTGGGTGAGCTCTTCTCCATGTACCTAACAGCTCGTTCCTCCATTAGGGGGCCAGCAAGTGAAACATGGCTGAATGTAACCCATGGATGTTGGGTGAGCTCTTCTCCATGCATGAACAGCTCGTTCCTCCATTAGGGGGCCAGCAAGTGAAACATGGCTGTATGTAACACATGGATGTTGGGTGAGCTCTTCTCCATGCATGACTAGCTCGTTCCTCCATTAGGGGGCCAGCAAGTGAAACATGGCTGAATGTTACCCATGGATGTTGGGTGAGCTCTTCTCCATGTACAAACAGCTCGTTCCTCCATTAGGGGGCCAGCAAATGAAACATGGCTGAATGTAACCCATGGATGTTGGGTGAGCTCTTCTCCATGTACGAACAGCTCGTTCCTCCATTAGGGGGCCAGCAAATGAAACATGGCTGAATGTAACCCATGGATGTTGGGTGAGCTCTTCTCCATGCATGAACAGCTCGTTCCTCCATCATCCTTGCCTTCATATGGCTGACAGACATGTATTGGTTGTGAGCAGAAGAAGGAAGTCTGAGTGATCTCATCTCTGTGCATGTACCAAGTGCACAGCTGAAATATTGAAAATGTGCCCACAAAGTCTGAACATCAGATGCTGTTTGTGTAATGTAATCATTGGTCTATGTACTTCTTCCTGCTGTTATCAGGCTGTGGCTTGATTCATTCACTTGCCTTTGCATGTGTTTGTGATTGATGGGGCAGGATGCCCCCACTATTTCATAGTGAATCAAAAACAAATCCTATTAATGTTGTTCAAAACTCTACGATGAACTTTGTTTGAGTGGAGATTTGTAATTATTGTTTTTGTGGCTATTTATCACAATGGTGACTACACAGAAAAGCAGATGTATGTATTCAGGGGTCACAGAGAAACATGGTGTATACAATCCTGTGAAGAACAGACGATGAAGTCTCCAGACTGTTTTCTTCGTTTGATACCTTTGCTTCAGATGTAATAGAAGATTCCAAAAGAGTAACATTTTCATTTGAACAATTTTTGTCACACTGTCTAACCACAATATTTTAAATGAATTATATGCTAATACACAATAATAGGAAACTGATATTAATTGTGTTTATAACAGCCAGGTAATGGTACTTTCTGTAACACTTTGACCATAAAACTGATGATTATGTGGTGATCTAGTTGAGATGATGTATTTTATAACCAGTCTCTGAAAGTGAAAAAGTGAAGGTGAGATTTATCTGACAGCTAGGTTCTGCTGTGGTTTGTGTGTTGGTGTACATCATGGAGTATATTAAGTGTGTGGAAATATACTGTTCAAAGAAGAACACAGAAATATTTTATATGTGACTGTCTCTAGGAGATCCAGAGGTTACTTGTGTGAAGCCATATCTTAACATAACCATGGCACCTGGATGATCCGGGTTGGAATTCATCCTCAGCAATCCATGCTTGTCGTAAGAGGCGACTAACGGGATCGGGTGGTCAGGCTCACTGACTTGGTTGACACATGTCATCGGTTCCCAATTGTGTAGATTGATGCTCATGTTGTTGATCACTGGATTGTCTGGTCCAGACTCCATTATTTACTGACCGCCTCCATATAGCTGGAATATTGCTGAGTGCGGCGTAAACAACAACCAACCATAACCGTGGATCTGTCTGACTATATAGTTAGTCAGTCATGGCTAAGACTTTGGTTATATGAAAAATTTGTTTCTTTATTTTCATGTGAGTAGTATATATTGGTTTTGATTTCTATATAACATATCTACTGATCTGGACAGGACCTTATAGCCAATGTTTTCATCTCTCTCAACAAAATAAATTAAATTTTTTGTTTTTTTTGGTTTTTTTGTGTGTTTTTTTTTTGGGGGGGTTGGGGGGGGGGGATTTGTTAAAATGTGATAAGATACCACTCATAGAGTGTGTAACAATATACAAAGTGATATATATTAGACGGGTTGTCAAACTGGGAGTAGTCATAATGGGAATGAACCTCACAGATACACAGTGCATCTTCTTTATCTTAGCATCAATACATGAGATACATAAGTAGGGTCTGGAGAGACACATTGATCATGTACTTGTGCTGGAATCCTGGTGTTTGCACACAGAAAGCAACTAAAGAGAAGCTATCATCACTGCTTGTTGATGTTCATTTAGGTTATGGTCAGCAGGGGTTACTGTCCATGAGGTTATGTTCATCAGGGGTTAATACCAATGTGATTATGATCAGCAGGGGTTACTATCGATGATATTATGGTTAGTAAGGGTTAATGACAATGAGATTATGGTTAGTATGGGTTTATGCCAATGAGATTATGGTTAGTATTGGTTAATGACAATGATATTATGGTTAGTATGGGTTAATGACAATGAGATTATGGTTAGTATGGGTTAATGACAATGAGATTATGGTTAGCAGGGGTTAATGGCAATGAGATTATGGTTACCAGGGGTTAATGACAATGAGATTATGGTTAGCAGGCTTAATGACAATGAGATTATGGTTAGCAGGGGTTAATGACAAGGAGATTATGGTTAGCGGGGGTTAATGACAATGAGATTATGGTTAGCAGGGGTTAATGACAATGAGATAATGGTTAGCAGGGGTTAACGACAATGAGATTATGGTTAGCAGGGGTTAATGACAATGAGGTTTAAGACATTAGGGATTAATGGTAGTGAGGTTGTGGTTGGTACTGGGTAATAGTAATGAGATTCCCATCAGCAGTTGTTAATGGCAATACAGTTTTTTGGAGTTACCTAATGGAATGGAAATGAGATTATGGTCAGTACGTCTTTATGGCATAGAGGTAATGGTCAGCAGGGGTTAGTGTTAATTATGGTCAAGAGGACGTAATGGTAAAGAGGTAATGATTAACAGAGGTTAATGGCAATGAGGCTATGGTAAGCCAGGGTTTGGGCAATGGGATTATTGTCAGTCAGCGTGACGTAACTAGTCAGTATTTTGTTACTATTGTTTGGTAGGTTGAATGAGGGTCACACAGTGTTTTTGGAGAGGAAAGTGCAGTCCGCCCTGTTTGATGGAGATAAGAGGCAGATGATGGAATTCAGTGGCTCTGAGGGACTGAAGGATTTACAGTACAATGTGAGTGGCATTTTCATATAAAGTTTAAATAACTAAACCATGCTCACAAAACTTACATAAAAAAGTTAATTTGACCCACAAAGCTGCCCAATCAGACCAGTAGAGAACATCAACAGGTGTTGTACTCTGTCCTGGATAAACAGAGAAAATGAAATCCATGTGAGAATTGGTCTTCAGCAACCCATACTTGTCTTAAGGGGTGGCTAATGACTAATGACATTAGCTGATTTGGTTTACAGCTTTCATCGTATCAGAGTTGTGTAGATCACTTAATTGTCTGGTCCAGACTCAACTATTTCCTCGAGACTCCCATCATATGGGTGAAATATTGCCCAGTGCAGTGTTGATTAGCAAGCACACACACAAAATGTAGAGCTTGAGTTTCATGTGAGCTGCATCACACTCAGTCCCCAGTTTACTGTCAAACATACAGGTATTTGCAGTGACTGGTTAATGGAAACATATTCTCCAAATGCATGTGGAATGCCTACTGCCCCCCCTCGCAGTGTTCAAGTGGACATCTTTTATTTTTATTGTAATTTTTCTGCAAAGGAATATTTTCGACCGTGGTCAATACATTTTGCTATTTATAGCCGACTATGCCAAAAATGGTTTGGTCAGGTCTTATTAAACTTTGGCTCAGTATTATTCGTTACACTACTATTATGAGTAGAAGGTTGCATCAGCTAACCTTTTGAATTGACGACAGAACGCAGCTTACGAAATCGTGAAAGATAACATTTGCAAGTACCGTTTGAACTTTTACCTCGAAAACTCGAACCATTCCACATGATTGCTTCCGAGTGATACACATGAACAACACAACAATTCAAAGTCGCTGAAAATAGAGTTTTTGCCAATATTCCAGGACGTCATCTTGCAGAAATATAAGCTAATAGTAACCATGTCCTCAGAAACTCCTACTGCTGGTGAAACACGTGTTTTATGCAGATTTCTGTTTGATGAGAGATCAATGTCAGTGACCGGGGAAGAGAAAATCCAATAATCTTTTTGTAAGTCCCGCCTAACCCTAAATAATAGACGTTGTCTGAGTAGTATTACAAATGTTACTTTATTGACCACAAACTGAGGTGTATTACAAACAGTAATGTTACTTTATTGAGCAATACACAAGGGGAAGTGCAGATAGACCATATATTCAACCCCATACTTACTTCTTCTGTTCTGTACAGGACATCCTGTATGTTCAAGGATTTTATATGAAATTAGGAAAACTGATCTCGAGACATGATATCACATTTTCTTCCTTTTATGGTCAAAGCTAACTCTTTTTGCATGGATTTTCTTTTTCAAATCCTTATTGGAAAAGGGTATTCAGTGATGAATTTGGTTGCTATTTCTTTAAACAATTATCACTTAATGATTAAACCATATGTTATTTACATGCAGTGTATGAAATAAGGCCCGTCCGACCGCCTAAGACGGTCTAGATTTCTGACGGACGGTCTAAATTTACAGCTAGCCAGCCCGATGGTCTGATACAATTTCCATACATCTGAGTAAATTCACCATATTTGGTCTGGTTAAACCCATTTTGGGCTGGTAACATTTTGAAGTTACCAGCCCTGATGTCTGGCTGGATTTTTGGCTTATTTCATACACTGTTACATGTTCCTCATGCTTCAAAAAGCAGATATCTATACTATCCCATCTCGATCCATGCATGATTTTGATATGATAATGTTTTCTTATAATTATGTTTTCTTATATATTCACTATCAGTTATGATTGAAACAAAGTTTGTTGTGTGTAGGTTAAAACATTGAATAACGGCCCATACACGCGACTGGTCATTGACCTGAAGGGCGTTGACCCAGATGACGCGTTTTCCAGCGTTCCCTATGAGAAGGGCTTCACTTTGCTGTTCTACCTGGAGACACTGCTTGGGGGACCAGGTGAGGTCATACAAATATCGGTTGTTAAAATATATTTTGTTCACAGTAAGTTTAGTTGTCTCTACTCTATATACAGGATCCAATTACAGTATGTCCAGTAGGCTGAGAGGAAAACAGAGCAGGTGAGCAGGATAAAGAAGATTAGTTGAAAGAATGTCGAAGATACAGGTCTTGAATCACACGATTGTTGTACAAGTTTGACATCTTTCTTTTCGACCCGCCTCTGTGGTGTAGTGGTTAGAGCATCCGCCTGCAGAGCGAAAGATCATGGGTTCGATCCCCGACCGCATCATACCAAAAGACGTTAAAATATGGTACTTGTTGGTACCTGCCTGGCGCTCGGCATTAATGGGTACAACAAGGACGGGTCGGCTCGATGTCAGTATACTGTGTCTGAGTGGGGTATTCATGCTTAACTGCAGCATGGTATCTCAGTGAGCTAGCACTATAAAGACAGTTTACGTCTGGGTTAGTACAAGCAGCCACATATTAGTGGTGGTCCGATTAATTGAAATAATCGAAGATTGGTCGCAATGACAAAACGACCAAGCAAACGATCATGTTTACTCATAATCGAACACAATCAATTTTGGAACACTTGTTTGCAATAACAATAGTTTTCACAAGGTTGGTTTTGTCTGTTAGATTTCATTAGCACTACAAGCTCTTCCAATACATGATTGAATTTATTTTAAAGACTGCATGAAATTCATGTTCCTAACATGCTAGTCATCCTATAAAGATGTGAAATTTGCAAATGCATTTTGTGCAATTTGCAAAGAAAACGAAAGAACTACATGTTTTTTTCTTTATCTTTTGTGCATTAACAAACATGACAGGAAAATTTGATAAATGACGCTAACCAATTATTTTCGATGATTGATTGGTTGTAATGAACCAATCATCAATTATGAGATTGAAACCAATTCCCAACACTACCACAAATGCACATGCATGCATCAGGGAAATATTCTTAAGTACGACATTAAACCCCATTTCACCTCCCCTCAACTCTTTTTTTTCATATTGATTGGATAACCATGACTCAGGTCACATTGGAACTTTTTTCATTAATGGAAAATCATAAGTCATTGTTCCTTGTACAGCTATTTTACAGATCTCACATCAGTTCCATACACCGATGAATATGTCCAATAAGACAATATGTGTATAGTCTTCAAGATAATAGAAGTACATGTATATGCCTACTGAGTATGTCCTGTTAGCCTACTGCTGTATATACACTAAGACTTAAAGATAACATCCTTTAGACACTATGGGCATGAAGACTAAATGTTCTATAAATACTATGAGTATACCCTACTAGATGATGTCTGTTTGTACACATCAATGGCAGGGTAGTGTTATAGGTTTTCTTGTCCATTCATTCACTGCCAAATGTTGTTGACACTTAACAGAGTTTATTACTCACCATACGAGTAGTTCTGATTTACTGATGCTAACACTGTTTGTTTCATTACAGTTGTGTTTGAGAAGTTCCTCCGGTCCTACATCGAGAAATTCACCAAGCAATCAATTAACACCCAGCAGTGGAAGGACTTCCTGTACAGTTATTTCTCTGATGAGGTGAGGACAGGTGTACCTGTGGTAATTAACTTGAAACAACAAACAACAGGATAGTGAGTGAGTGAGTGAGTGAATATGGTTTTATGCCACTTTTAGCAATATTCCAGCAATATCACGGCAGGGGCTTCACATATTGTACCCATGTGGGGAATCGAACACGGGTCTTCGGCGTGACGAGCCAACGCTTTAACCACTGGGCCATCCCACCACCCCAACAACAGGATAGACTACATCAAGTTGGAGTATTTAACAAGAAAGTCTGACTATGTTTTCTTGTCCATGCTCTATTTTGTAAAATAATACAAATTGAGCTTTATGTTTCCAGTTGATGATATGACCTTACATAAACATATTTTATCTGTGTTTTGCTTTAAGCAGTTGACCAAGAGAATCAGGAAATCACGAACATAACTCTTGTCTTACCTGAACATGATTATATATATATGGTAATAGTATATTAGCAGCGTTCGAAATACCTGCCTGCCCAACCGGCCGGGACGGGTTATTTTCAACACGGACTGCCAGATTCTCAAGTTCACCTGCCCGATGGTCGGTTAAACTTTAGACATGTATATTGTATTTTTTTGGTGGGCAGGTAAGTTTTGGTCAAGGCTGGCAAGTTTTACATCTAACCAGCCCTGTGGTCTGGCTGAAACTTTTGGGAGTTTCATACCCTGATATTAGATGTAGAAGGTCTCATGTTAGTGGCAGGATGATACAGCTTTTTGCCATCTGGACTGCAAAGTTTGAGGGGTGCTCTTTTAAAGTATTTATTAGTTTATTTATTAATTGTTTATTGTTTTTTCAAGAAAGCCCAGACAGCCCTGAACACAGTAGACTGGGATGCGTGGTTCAACAGTCAAGGAATGCCTCCAGTAATACCAGAGTAGGTCAATGGCCATATGACCAGTCCATCTCTTCAGGTCTTGGGGGGTTGTGTTAAGTATTTTATTAACCATGGACAAGGGACACTGTAATTAAATGGTAGTTTGGTTAGTATAAGGGAGGTAATTAGTTTGCAGGTAATCTAGATTATCTCCCATTGTCCATTTGAATCACCTTTGCCATGTATGTCAAATTCCTTTTAAACATCCAAGAACCAGGGTGAAATATATGCATTATATGCACATGTTAAATCTCCAAATCATCATCATCAGGAATAGAATTTTTACAGCTTTTTATTCTCTTTCCTCATATCATGATATTGATAAGGAATAGAATACCACAGGACCTTGATATGTGGGTCCTGGTTGACAGCCATGCATCAGTCAGTAAACGTCAGGACCCAGATTTTCGAAACTCTTTTAGCGCTAAGATAGTCGTAGGTGCCATACATTAACATTAACTTACGACTATCTTAGCAATAAGAGAGCTTCGAAAATCTAGGCCCAGGAGCAAGAGCTTAAAACAAAACTCCCTTGTACATTCAAGGGAACGAAAGTTTGTTTGTTTGTTTGGAAAGACAGAGGTTTTATTCGTAATTTATGAGTCATCTGTTTTTGAAGCTATGACACAACGTTAGCAAGAGCATGCACAGAGTTGAGGGAGAAGTGGTGTGCCGCCTTGGATACCGATCTGTCTCAGTTCAGCGCCAATGATCTCACACCTCTGTCATCTATCCAGATACGAGAGTTTCTAAGTCAACTGCTGGAGCAGGTGAGTTAAGGGTAGGAATGTCAGTCTAGCCAGTACCAGGGTAGCTGAGGGTTGGTATGTCAGTCAAGCCAGTGACAGGGGAGCTGAGGGCTGGTATGTCAGTCAAGCCAGTGACAGGGGAGCTGAGGGCTGGTATGTCAGTCAAGCCAATGACAGGGGAGCTGAGGGTTGGTATGTCACTCTAGCCAGTGACAGCTGAGCTGAGGGCTGGTATGTCAGTCAAGGCAGTGACAGGGGAGCTGAGGCCTGGTATGTCAGTCTAGCCAGTGACAGGGGAGCTGAGGGCTGGTATGTCAGTCAAGCCAATGACAGGGGAGCTGAGGGTTGGTATGTCACTCTAGCCAGTGACAGCTGAGCTGAGGGCTGGTATGTCAGTCAAGCCAGTGACATGGGAGCTGAGGCCTGGTATGTCAGTCTAGCCAGTGACAGGGGAGCTGAGGGCTGGTATGTCAGTCAAGCCAATGACAGGGGAGCTGAGGGTTGGTATGTCACTCTAGCCAGTGACAGCTGAGCTGAGGGTTGGTATGTCAGTCAAGGCAGTGACATGGGAGCTGAGGGTTGGTATGTCAGTCAAACCAGTGTTAGCTGAGCTGAGGGTTTTTGTGTCAGTCAAGCCAGTGACAGGGGAGTTGAGGGTTGGTATGTCAGTCAAGCCAGTGACATGGGAGCTGAGGGTTGGTATGTCAGTAAAGGCAGTGAAAGCTGAGCTCAAGGTTTGTATGTCAGTCAAGCCAGTGACAGGGGAGCTGAGGGTTGGTATTTCAGTCAAGCCAGTGTCAGGTGAGTTGAGAGTAGAGATGTCAGTGTTTTCACCTGTTCATGGAGGAACACTTGACGTAATCAATTTACTGCCCAAATCAACAATATTGCAGCCATGTTACTGCATTGAACCTGGCCAATAATGTATCACTATGAGCTTGGTAATATCAAACTTAGCATTTGAAACCTCAAGATGCAATAAAGTGTTGATAAATCTTGAGCAAGCCTAACTCTACACTGAAAACATGTTATATCTAGAAAGAGGCATCAATGCAATTGTTTGTATTCCAGGAACCGCTGTCTGTCACAAAGCTTGAAAAGATGCAGGAAGTGTACGACTTCAACAGTGTCCGCAACTCAGAAATCAGATTCAGGTGATTATTGTGATTATTGCTTGATCAGCATTCTAGAAATTGGTGAGTCAATATTGAGGCTTGATAATGCTGAAGAGACTATGCACCCAGCTGTCCCACATAGACAGTCATTCTCATACAACTCATACAATGTGTATTTCAGATGGTTGAGGCTTGGTCTGTTGGGCCACTGGGCTGATGCCATTCCACGAGCAATTGATTTCGTCACAGAGCAGGGGAGGATGAAGTTTGTCAGACCACTCTACAGGTAATGTGTATGATACATCATGACCTTGTGGATTGAGGTTCAGTGTGAGCTTGTGGATTGAGAGTCAGTGTGACCTTGTTGATTGAGGGTCAGTGTGACCTTGTGGATTGAGAGTCAGTGTGACCTTGTGGATTGAGGGTCAGTGTGACCTTGTGGATTCAGAGTCAGTGTGACATTGTGGATTGAAGGTCAGTGTAACCTTGTGGATTGAGAGTCAGTGTGACCTTGTGGATTGAGGGTCAGTGTGACCTTGTGGATTGAGAGTCAGTGTGACCTTGTGGATTGAAGGTCACTGTGTCCATTGAGGGGTGGTGGGGTAGCCAATTGGTTAAACTGTTCGCTCGTTACTCCGAAGACCCGGGTTCGATTCCCCACATGAGTACAATGTGTGAAGCTCATTTCTGGTGTTCCTTCCCGTGATATTGCAGGAATATTGCTAAAAGCAGGGTAAAACCACACTCACTCCATTGAGGGTCATGATTTGGTAAACTGAGGGTCTTCTGGACCTTGTCCATTGACGGTTACCATGTCTTTGCAGGTCACTGTGCCTTTCAGTGTTGATCAGTACTCTTAGTGTCAAATACTAGTTTGCTTGGCCATTACCTGATTGTTTACAGGCTGTGATATTGTTGAAGTAAACATTCATGCACACTTTCATTACTTGGTGATGTTAGAATGGACCTGTTTTCAACATTCAGCAAGTAATTGTGTATCCGAGTACTTTGTGCACATACGCAAACTTCATGTCAATACTGACAGTATTCATAGTATACAACGGTGTGCCGTATGTTTATGATATGAACAGCTACATTAGTGGCTACTTCAAATGCTATTATTGTGGATATTTTGTATCACTTACTTCAATATTAGTTGATATGTCCTTTCTATGTCAATCGAGATTGCCCAGTTTTTGGTGCATTTTCTGTGTGACTTCATTCATGAAAATGGTTGAATAAGCAGTATTTGCTTGGTAATCTCAGTTTCCAGGCAATTTTCAAATATGCTTTTACTTTCTCGATACTTTGCAGCAGTTAATTTTCTGTTTGTTGTCGATAAACTTTCGATTTCCCATATCGACAGATAGACGATAGGCAACTCAATTATTGTTCTGGTAACATCACAACAGTGCTGAAATAGTGTTTTGGTGGCAACAGAAAGGTGCAGCCACCTGATGTTGAGACATCACCCTCATGATGTGTAGTCGTGAGTCGTGGCATGATATGCAGTTTATTTTCTGTTGATTTAAACTTTCCAAGTCACATGATTGACATTCATGTGCTCCAAGCAGTTTATTGAGATGCACATGCACAATCTTGTTGCACGTGTCTAGGACTAAACCATTGACATCACAAGATGTCGCACATGCATGTACTTTTTTTTGTGTTGGTTCCAATTCAGGCATCAGTGCAGGCGCCCTCAATTTTCACTATGACATTTCCTTAAGCACTTTGAAAAGTGGCTATGAAATAACGTAAAACAGGCACTTTTATTTCATCATCAAAATACATATAGCAAAACATTTCAGTAGTTTGACACTTCTGTACCACGGTAAAGTTTAATGTGGATATTTACTTGACCTACTGAAGAATTCCACTCAACCCTGGTGTCGGGCAATGATATTTTTCATCCACTCACTCACTCACTCATTTAGTCGGTTTTAAGTTGGTTATTGTATTTTCTCTCTGAAAATTGCTCTTTGAATGCGTTTGCTGTGTTTCTTCTGGGAAGTATTTTCTTTGCAATGATGTTCACAAGAGATGATAAGTCTTGCAAATATTCAACACTAATATACGATATATTGCAATCAGCAATATTCCAGATTTAGGATGGCAGTCTGTAAATTAGTGAGTCTGGACAAGACTATCTAGATATTAATTGATGTACGCAAGTCAAGTCAGCATGCTTGACCACCCAATCCATGTAGTTTCTTCTTAAGATAAGTATAGAATGCTGGAAATGATTCTTCATACATGGAATCACAAGCTTGATGATAATTTTTACATCGACGTAACACTATAGCATTTATCCCCAACGGTGTCCTCCCATTTGTGAAAACTCCCAGTTGTGAGACACATTAATTAATGGTTCAGTGCACATAGGTGGTGTTTCCACATCCCTACAATGAAAGTGGGATCAGCCCAGCCCAGTTCCCACAGGAGGCATAGTTCATTGATGAGTTGATTAATGAAATAGATTATCAAAGATTATATTTACACAGAAGAAATAGTTCATTGAATATTTTATTTATTCAGAAGAATATGTAATTATGATAAAAAAAAATTATTGACTATTATGAAGTTTTTGAAAGTCATTTTTGTTTAAACATATTTTATTATTATTCATAAAAATGAATTGGGATTGGTGAAGTATTACTGCTTATGTTAACACCGCTCCCATGCAACATAAAGTATAAAATGAAATGGGGGATGTGACGTCATCGATATTGACTATTGCATAAATATATTTTAAGTACATATAAATATATACAGATTACATCAAATACAACTATTCTCTAAGTAGTCATAATTAGAGACTTACAGTTGTGTGTGTTTAACAAGCTATTGTAGGAATATAAATCAATCACGAGATGGTTATTGAGTTAATTTCAGTATTTCCCTGTGAAAATTTGAAGGTTGTGTCTTGATGATATAATTGTGGACGGATTCAACTATTTTCTGGTTTACACAAGGAGTAAATTCAAAAAAATATCCACAAGAGCAACATGCACTGTCTATTAAATGTCTGTTATACTTATCGGTGTTTAGGTCGCTAGATCCGAGCCTGAGGCAGCAATGAACGATTTGACAAAAACAAGAGCCATAATTAAGATCAATATAAATCTTGTTTTCGGTTTTTGTAATTAGGTTTTAAAATTCTTTGAGACTGCATGACTCTTTGGAATTTGGTAGGGCATTCCATAAATTTATTGTGTCGGGTAGAAAGAGTTTGGCATACATTTTGACTGTAAATTTCAGAGTTATTTCAGAGTTATTTCTTAAATTATAGCTTGTAGTTTCGAAGATGGAGTAAATCTGAGTAGGTAAATTAATTCCTCTTTGATCACGAAGTTACCTACACAAAGTGTTTAATTAATAAAGACATTTACCTGAGTATGTTAATCAATTTATCTTATAAAGTTTCATTAAGTTACCTCCACAAGATTCAGTTACATAGCAAATCAGTAATTAGCTAGGGTGAATCTATTCTATCAGACAGGGGAGTATGGTGTGTTTTCGTTGTTTCCACTGTCTCATAACTGGGAGTCTCACAACTGGGAGTTCTCACAAATGGGAGTAGACCTCCACAACAATCACACCAAAGAATTCATTCCTGCTCAAGGACAAAGTACATCTTGGTGGCATATGTTTCTACATAAAACCAGATGCTGCACCTTGTTTTACATAAGCCCTTTTCAGGGAGAGGCCTCTTTTTTTCAAATTACTAACTTACACCAAGAAGATATTATATCCAACGTTGTCATATTCCTCGTAGATAAAGTGTTTGTTTAAATGTCAGATAAAAACAATTGATGCTGATGAGTTTGCTATTTAATATTGGAAATATCCTCACGCTGTCTATACAATGGTGGAAATTAATTCAACATATTAAAAACCTGAACCAACAAAAGGTTATGAGTCATGAAATATGAAGGCTTTCAAATTTCAATCTTCTATGTGCCATAAATACATTTTTATATTATTGAAATAAGAACATAGACTCAGTAACTGCCTGCAAAATTTATTGTCATAAAAACTTAAAGAGAATTGTCAGATGTCAGAGACATTGATTGAGTTAACATACGAGTTACAATTTTTTAAACCCAAGATAATATCTGGTACAGCATTAATTTCCATCCTGCATATTTCTGTACTTTGAGATTAGCCAGATTGCGAGATAATCATAGAGTTCTTCTCAGAACAAGTTAAGGATATCTCAAATTATTATACTTAATCTGTTTTGCCAAGATTATCTATGATAATAAGAAAGAGTTTGTCTGTGATTCTTTTTGTGGTGAATGACCTACTTCTCATTTGGCAAGTACACACTCTGTCAGTGGTAATAGTATCCATGAAGATCCGGGTTAGAACTGATCTTCAGCAACCCATGCTTGTCATAAGAGGCAATTCATGGGATCGGATGGTCAGGCTCGTTGACTTGGTTGACACATGTCACCATAAACCAGTTATGTAGATAGACGCTCATGTTGTTGATCACTGGATTGTCTGGTTTCAACTCAATTATTTACAGACTGCCACCATATAGCTGGAATATGGCTGAGTGCGACATTCAAAAAAGACGGACAGTGTTAATAGCCTGGGCCCTTATTCTCAAAACGTTCGTAGCCCTTAGAATTCTTAGCTTGAATCATAACCAATGTGTTAAGAGTGGGCTTAAGAAGTTTGTAGGGCTACGAACATTTCGACGAGAATAGCTAGCCAGGCATGTATGTTTGATCCATCACCATAAAGAAACAACAGCTATTTGTGAATGCATGATTGAAATGTGCACCTTTTACAGGGACATGTATGCATGGGAAGATGCAAGGCAGCCTGCTATCAACAACTTCCTGGCTGTCAAAGACGAAATGCACAACACAACAGCTGGTCTTGTGGAGAAGGATCTCCATCTGAAAGAGGCTAGCAGTTAGCTATGAGATGGCCATTCCACACAGCAGTTTCACCGAGATGAGCAGAGCAAGAAAACCACTTCACATGAACTTGATCATGTGTCAATAACTGATTTTACAGGAGCTTCAACATTGAGCCATTGATTATTTGATACAATGTCATGATTAAGTAGTTCAACCTTAATGTGTTATTGTCATATAGCAAAGATTATAGCAGGTATAACTGTTAATTCAACAATTTGAATTCATATGTATTTGTTTAATTTACACCAGAGTGATCAAAACATGCCTCGATTGTCAAAGTTATTGTTTCATTAAAGGACCGATCATTTCATTTATGAGCCGTCTTTGGACATTAATATCTTTTTGACACTCACCCTATTCGTGCAAAAGAAATTCATCCCCAGAGTATTATATGTGACCAGTCACTAAATAGTTTAATTGTTGTACCCTGAAAAATTGAAAAATAGAACTGTGTGATATTTTTATGCCCAAATAAATAAATGTAACATGTTTCTGTTCCTCTGCCCTCTGTAGTACATTACCAATCACAAAACCCTGTTCAAATGTATAACTTTTGTATTTTTGAAAAACAGAAGTGTCATGTTCCTCTCCCCTAATGGTTGTGAGAATGTTTGGTGAGTCCCCTTCTTTTGCTGTCTTAAATCTTGTCATGACCATGCCCCCCACCCCCATAAATGACCAGTCAAATTGTAAAAAACAACTTTTTCATGTGACAATACTTGTGGCCCAAATACATTTTCATTTTTTTACTATACTTAGCTTTGGAGAAGGGATATTAATGTCTGTACTTTAATGGAAAAAGTGTTTTTTACCATTGCTAGTGTGTACATTTCTTTGTTGAAAATGATAGCTGATAAAGATAGTTTTGACTGATATGAAAGTCATTGCTTGTCAAGTTTCTTGTTTCATGAGAAAGGCTTATATCCAGGGTTCAACATGATGATTGCTTATCCAATTTATGAATAATTTTCAGAATAATTTACATTTTACAGGAGCAGATGATATTTGTTTATGAGAATGTTTTGAAATAAATTATTTTGATTTATTGCAAATGTTTTTGTTTTGTTATGGTGGATGCTATTTATTGCAAGTGCTGATACTTTCAACCACTGGTTTGGTAGTACAGATGCAACCAGCTTGATTTGCCGGAATGTGCTACTCAACTTATATTTACATGTAAATATATACACTGCCCCATAGGCTGATACAGTGCGTGCGTGTGTGCGTGCGTGAGTGTGCGCTCGCACACACACACACACACACACACACACCTTTTGTGCTTGAAAGTTTGTTAAATGACCCTTCAAACTCACGTGAAAATGAAGTGTGCACCCCTCCTTTTCTCAATAGTGGGCACCCCCCCCTTTCTCAAAAAGCTGTAGCCGCCCCTGTCCCAACATACTCTCTCTCTCTCCCTCTCTCTCTCTTCCTCTGTCTCTCACTCTCTCTCTCTGACCTCCTCTGTGGTGTAGTGGTTAGAGCGTCCAACCGGAGAGCGGAAGGTCGCGGGTTCGATCCCGACCGCGTCATACCAAAACACATTAAAATATGGTACTTGTTGGTTCCTGCCTGGCGCTCGGCATTAATGGGTACAACAAGGACTGGTCGGCTCGGAGTCAGTATAATGTGTCTGAGTGGGGTATTAATGCTTCACTGCAGCATGGTATCTCAGTGGGCTAGCACTATAAAACCAGCTTAAGTCTGGGCTAGTACAGGCAGCCACACATACACACGCATGCAGTCATATGAGTGAAATATTCTCCAGCACATTAAACCCAATTACACCTCTCTCTCTCTCTCCCTGTTTTTCGCTTGATGATATAGGATTTAGACATTAGTATCCCATTTTTACAGTTTCCTTCTTTAGTATGACCATAGTGTAGATTTGTTTAAAGATAGTCCTGGAGAATTGCAGGGATGTTTGGAAGTATTGTTTCAAAATATTTTCCACTAATAACCTCATATCCACATCACCTGATTGTCACCCAGATAATCAAATATCACTGAAATTGTTTGCATTAACAAGTTTTCGGATTAATAGGTCCTTGGTACAGTGCAATATCTCAGTCCCATCATCACAGGCACTCGGCTTTAAACATGACTTCACTCAGATCAGCACCCAAATGGCGCGCAACTGCCTCGTGTGTTGAGGTGACCAGGTGAAGTGAAATTGGGTTTTACGTCGTACTTGAGAATATTTCGCTCATATGACGACGTGCATGCGTATGTATGTGTATGTGCGGCTGCTTGTACTAGCCCAGATTTAAGCTGGTTTTATAGCGCTAGCTCACTGAGATACCATGCCGCAGTGAAGCATGAATACCCCACTCAGACACATTATACTGACTCCGAGCCGACCAGTCCTTATTGTACCCATTAATACCGAGCGCCAGACAGGGACCAACAAGTACCAAATTTTAAGGTCTTTTGGTATGACGCGGTCGGGGATCGAACCCACGACCTTCCACTCTCCGGGCGGACGCTCTAACCACTACACCACGGAGGCGGTCTCCACGTGTGTTGAAAGCAGTGTGGCCCAGTGTTATTCACTATTTGTTTGATTGTAGATACAATTATGGTCATAAAGATTTCAACAAATTTTGTTGGCTACTTGTAAGCTAAACAATTTTATTTGATAATAGAATTGAACATCCGCATCCCACATACATGAACATATGTAACAGTTGGTTGTTGTTTGGATGTTGTTTTACGCCGTACGCAGCAATATTCCACCTATATGGCGGCGGTATGTAAATAATCGAATTTGGACCAGACAGTCCATTGATTGATATTATGATAATCGATCTTGGGATACGATGACAATATTCAACCAGGTCAGAGTCTGACCACCCGATCCCGTCGGTTGCCTCTTGGAGGCATGGGTTGCCAAAGATAAATTCTAACCCCAATCTTCACGGGTAATATCTTTTGGTAAGGGGATAAGAGGCATCTGTTAAATGTATAACGTATATCATTATTGCCGAAGATTCCAATCAGATTATCGAATAGTTCAGATCCTTCTACGACGTCTCGACTGCGATGGATCTGAATAACAATTAGGTGTCTTATATTTAGGGCTCCTTGCCACAAGGCAGGAGACCTATTGTTAATGTTCGTGTTTGTATTATTTATTATTCCGCTGTATTTTGTTCCACTCGTACAAAGAGCACCATTGGACAGAATCGCTTGAAAAAAATCTCCCAGATGCCTACCGAGGTGTAGATATTCGCTATAAAAATCTCAAGGCTATAGGCCCGTGAACTAAAGAAAGATAATTCAAAATCAATTAAAAAAATCAATTTCCAAAGCAATAATCTCAGAAACCATATGTCCAACGACTACCACATTTCAGGAGCAGCTCTGGAATCGGATTACCTTCAATTTCAACTGCAGGAACCATGGGGCTAAGAGGCACCGTTTGGCCGCTATATTGGATTGAAGGAATTTTGACGGGTAGGCGTTTGTCTGCATCGGGGAGCTGAGATCATGGCGATTCCAGAACACTAGTCGTTTTGGCTGTAGACTCAAGAGGGAAATCTTTCTTCTCCTGAACTATTTAAGAGGTACATAACCCCCGCGCCCCCAGGTGTATTTGGAAGGTTCGCTCATGTGTCCAAAACGTGTTCTCGCTCCTTTTTGGACGATTTCTAGCCCTCAAATACATTTCAAACAACCGTAACTCTGAAACCAACTATCCGATGTCGACCAAAATGTACCTGTACAAGTGGGCTATCAGTGTCGATTTATCCATCGATTGCAGTGATGTATCTCCAAAGACAACAGAGGGACAAGTGAAATTATTTTTTCCACACTTTAGTTGCTTTCTTCATCGGTTTTTTAGAGAGCTCAATGAAAGTTAGCAGTATGTATCTCAAACGTTTGCTGATCATTTTCTGTTCTGTGGTGCATGTGTCACCGTTTGGTACATAGCTTCTTCATGATCGTTGGAGGTAATTAAGATAGCTTATGGAAGCGCTAGTAAAATCTACCAACATCCCCCACTCGCTGGCTTTCTAATGCCAAAAGAGCAAATCCAGTTTGGGTATAAACTGGATCTTCTGCAGTTTGTTTATGGTTATAAGTGACATATTTACAGGTGTTATCTGTACTCCCAGTATATTTGCTTGCTCTGGAGTTCAGAAGTTCAGTTGCGACAGTGTGATAGTAACAGTGTAATGGGTACTGACACTGACTAGAAATACATTGCTTGATGTGGATTCACACGGTCAGTTGCGACATCATAAGACAAACAGTAAATGGATATTAATATGGGCTATAGAAATACAGCACCCGATCGCCTCGTGTTAACATTTCAACTTTGCAACCGTCGAATATAAGCTGAAATGGTGCAAGAGTAGTGTCTACTAACAGCTAAATGTTGATGACGACTTTTTCAGCTAAGGCTACCAAATCTTCTGTTTTCTTGTCAGTTTGATCAATGGGTTCTTCTGCCTTGAGATTCCTGTTTTACCCAAGACACCAAATGATATTCTTAGATCCAGATCCAGGAATGCAATTCAAGCTTTGCAATAAGCTGATCTAGTTTTACAGAACGTCCAGTACTTCCAGTTAAAATGTCTTCAGCCAGTACCATAAATTTGTCAGAACTGGTGGGGGTGTCATCCATTCAGTTAAAACAAATAAATGATTAGCAATTGAACGTGTAACCATTATTATAGAAACGAGTTCCGTCCGTCCGTCCGTCCGTGCATCCGTGCGTCCGTCACACTTTGTCCGAAGCATATCTCCTAAACTATGTGTGATAACTTAACCAAACTTGGTACACAGGTCAACCATGATCCCTAGTTGTGCCTTTGGGGGTAAGACCCAGATATGAAGTTTATTTTTTGTGGATTCCATGGGAACGGGACTTAGGCTGTGACTATGAGATGTCATCTTGTCTGGAGCAGATCTCCCAAACTATACATGCTAGCTTCATCAAACTTGGTACATATGTCAAGCATGATCCCTAGATGTGCCTTTTGGGGGTTAAACCCAGGTATGAATTTAAGTTTTTGCGGTTCCATGGAAACGTGACTTAGGCTGTGGCTATGAGGATGTCATCTTTTCCGGAGCAGATCTCCCAAACTATACATGCTAGCTTCATCAAACTTGGTACATATGTCAAGCATGATCCCTAGATGTGCCTTTTCGGGTTTAGACCATATATGAATTTTATTTTTTGTGGTTTCCATGGAAACGTGACTTAGGCTGTGACTAAGAGGATGTCATCTTGTTGCATTTCCATGGCAACAAGTTAGGCTTCAACTGAATTTGTTGGTAGTGCTCCTCAGCAGAGCAGATCTTACAAACCTTTCAATACTCTCCTTCCACTTTGCTGTATACGCTCCAAAACATTTGACATAATCATAACTAGTAGACATATTCATAAAGTGTATTTTACCATTGCGGGTGATATTGATGACTTTGTCTTCTTGTTCTTATTTCTTCGAATTTCTAATAAAGCCAAAAGTACAACTGTTTCCAAAGCCACAAGTGCCATTATCCAAACCATACCACACAATCCTTTGTATCTACCCCTCGATCATAAGAATTCAAAGTTAACGACTGAAGCATTTCTCATTACTGACAGTGATATGATCTATAACAACTGTAGCCATTACTACTTTCGACATCTACGTGACAGGTACAAATGACGAGATTGTATTACAGCCAAGGAGCCCTAAATTGCTGCTCGTACCTATATTTGTGTAATGGTTATTATGGCTCCGTCACGTTTAGGTTCCAGGGCAATGATTCGCATATTGTAGCATAAGTCTTGATCAACACATAATTACCTTTGTTATTTGTTTATAACAAAGCCATGACTCTTTAGACGTGTCACAACACAAGCATTCACAAGCAGAGTGTGACTGTCAGCGTTTTTGCGTAATGGTGAACTCCCTCAGCACGGATGTTTATGCAGGCATGGCATCTGTATAACGTGGTAAGTTAGGTATACCAACAGCCGTTGTTTTTCCTGGCGCTCATCTTAACGCACGTAGGCACGCATGCACACACACACACACACACACGCACGCACGC